ATCGAACCCAGCGCCTCACATGTGCCAGGTAAGCGCCCTGCCATTGAGCCCCAGCCCTAGCCCCTGTTGTTCATTCTTGGTCAGCCCCACCCCACTGCCTTTTTATTTGTCACTACATTATGGGTTTGGAGAATGCAAGCCACTTGTTTATAGAATTGGACTGAATGATTTACACCGCAGCTGTGGGGAGCGGGCGGGGGGAAGGCCAGCAGGTACAGGCGTGCAGTTGTATAAGAGATAACTTCTAATGTTCTACAGCACAGGAGGGTGACTGTGGTTGAYAACAGGTAATTGTTTATTTCAGAATGGCAAATAGGATTTTGAATCTTCTCAACATCAAGAAATAGAAAATCTTTGAGGTGATGAATATACTAATTAGCATGATCTGTTCATTATACATAGTACACATGTACTGAAATATCACACCGTACCCCACTAATATGTACCATTATGTGACAATTCTTAAATTTAGCCTTAGGGCCGGGGTTGTGGCTCAGTGGTAGAGCGCTTGCCTAGCATGGGTGAGGCACTGGGTTCGATCCTCAGCACCACATAAAAATAAATACATAAAAATAAAGGCATTGTGTCCATCTACAATTAAAAAATAAAAATAAATTAGCTTTAAAAAGACCCTTCCGTAACTCTGAGTGTCTTTTCTGCTTAAAGCCACTTGCTAGAACCCACTAACAAAAGGTTAAGGTCCAAGCTTCCAGTGACACCTGTGGGTTCCCATGCCATGTCTCTGTCACGCTGAGCTGCTTCAGGATTACTCTCTACCCTCCTCTGTCCCCAACCCAACACTGCRCCCATCTTGCCTCTGGACTGTGGTTCATGCAGACACTCTGCCTGGAAWGTCCTTTCCTGCCTACTTCCCCAGTAAACTGTTGGTGGTGCCTTAAAGTCTCCTTTCAGGCTCCTCCTCCTCCTCAGGGAAGCCTCCCCCAGTGGCCCCCCGGGTGGCGGTGGCGCTCTGCTGATGTCCACTCTACCCTTGCAAGCTGCACCACATTTTGTCATCTTGTGGCATGCCTGTCTCCTCTACCAGACCATGAGACGGTTGAGGACAGGGACTGTGGCCTACCCACTCGTCCTGTCCTGAGGCGGGAACTCAGTAACTACTTGTTGAATGAATGAGAAATAGGAGGGAGAAAGAAAAAGGAAGAAGCTCTTGTTGCTCTGCTCTTCAACCCCAGGGAGAGAGGGGTCAGCGCTTCCTTCACTAAGGAAGTRAGMACCAAGGAGGGGGACTGTAGATGCCCTGTCCCAGRAACACARGCTCYAGATAGGGAGCCTGGAACTTGCACCTCTGTGAGCTCYCCCGGTGGGGGGACTGCCATGTCCCGGTTTCCCTGGATAATAACTGATCAACCCTGTGCATGCACARGCCTATCTTCAGGACAGCCCGAGAGGAGGAGCAGGAAGTCAGCTCCTGACAGYCATGGAGAGGCATTCCCGAGGCAAGGCCCTGGACTTTAAACAGGGGAGGAAAGAGGCAGAGGGAGGCCTGAGGGCCTGCCCCCAAGGAAAGGAGAAGAGCTTAGAGAACTTAGAGGCTGGGACSGTTAAACATGGGTCCCTGAAGACCTTGTGTAGGGAGCTGTTTCACCAGATGCCAGAGAGTTGCCAGAGMGTTTGTTGCCCATGGCCAAACCTGGAAAGAATGTCTGAGACCTGGCAGTGGCTAGGAAATTAGCTCTGCCTTGGGTGAAGAGGCGGAATGGGAAGGATGCTTCAGAAAAACACTTCAAAAATCTGARCCTGTTAGTCTTATTTTACATGCCAACTCTGATCAGCTGGTAGAGGCTTTCAGGATTGGGAAACGAAGGAGAAACCTAGGCCACCACCAGATTTTATTTAACAGGGCCACAGATGATGATTAATCACATTTATCATTGCAGGTAGGGAGGAATGGGTAAGGACCTGGGAATCAAAAGGGAGGAGGGAAGACATGGGGTGGGGAGGCTAAGAGGTAGTGTTGAGTGCCTTAAATATACCTACGTTCGGTGGTCATCTGACAAGGACACACCTTCCATGCCGTGACCACCTCCCACTAGGGGTAAGAGCTCAYAGAGGTGCAAGTTCCAGGCTCCCTATCTAGAGCTTGTGTTCCTGGGACAGGGCATCTACAGTCCCCCTCCTTGGTTCTTACTTCCTTACCTGCCTCTCAGGTGCGCCACATCTCCCAGCCCTGACACATCAAGGACCAGGCCTCCAGCACATGAACTTCTGAAGGACAAACTACAGCCACACCACAGCACTAGGGAACAGAGTGAGGTGTCCCCTTGGGTGGTAAAGGAGGAAGTCCAAAAGGGACCAAAATGAAAACAAGGATGGCCAGAACAGGATATCCCAGAGTGTGCTCCGAGAAGTGTTCACTGACATTATGTGACAAAATGGCTCACTAGGAGCCACTGTGCTGAAAGTCCTCCAGCGGAGTTGTCCACTGTGGGAATTCTCAGGACCTCTAAAGAGATTATATGCTCTGAGGTTTCTCAGAAGGTGACAGAGTTTGCAGGGCTACTTAGGCCATGGGACCAGGTCTTCAGAACATTCTTTGGAAAATGCTGAAATAAAGGCAGCATTTAGAGAAGCACGTTCCTTGGGAGCTGGAAATGAAAACGACGAGGTTTAATGAACATGTCTTTCTCTCAGCAAGGAAAGAGGAGAAACCAAGACAAGGCAAAGACAGAGTGGGCAAGGAGAAATAGGAGCTCAAAGGCAGGAAGGAGGAAAGCAGAGTCTCGGGGAGGCATGTGAAGACAGAGGCCACCTGGATGACCAGCCTGCCAGAGTGTCACCAAATGCAGGAAGTGTGGCCACTTCTGTCATCACTGCTGTCATCACCATCAGCAGAGAAGCTGACCAGTCCTGCGGGCTCACTGCTTTGCAGACCCTGTAGTATGTCTTTCATTGATATGATGGGTTTTTTTTATTCCCATTTTACAGATAAATACAGCAAGTTAATTTGTCCAGAGTCAGGCTTATAAAGTTTACAAGGGGCAGCCCATGGACTCGGTCCTGTGCCTGACCCAGAGCCGTGTCCTCACGACTACMCAGCTCTACTGTTAGCTGTGTTTGAGGCGGAACTGGAATTTCATTACATAATACAAAAGGGGCATGGTACAGGAGGCAACACCAAAACACAGGCAAAGGAAAAGGCAAAACCAACCGACCAACCAAAGCCATTGGATATTTGGCTGCCCAGAGCCAAACAGCTACAGGACCACCCATCTTCTCCACAGCACATCCAGCTGTTATATATCGTTGTGTTCTCTTCCTCTCATCTTACTGTTTACTATCCCTTCTTAACTTATGTCATGAACTATGTACCAGGCTCTCCTGGGCTTATCTAATGTATTACACTTGTCGATAGAGAGATAATTTTTTTTTTTAATATTTATTTTAGTTCTCGGCGGACACAACATCTTTGTTTGTATGTGGTGCTGAGGATTGAATCCGGGCCCCACGCATGCCAGGCGAGCACGCTACCGCTTGAGCCACATCCCCAGCCCTACACTTGTTGATAAAKCGAACATAGGACATTATCTGGATGTTAAGCACTTTCGACCTGAACACTCTGACTACTGCACCCACTACAAACTYACAGAGATTTCCACAGCTGCCAGTTCTCTTACTGAATATGGGAGCCCTCAGAACAGTTTTCTAGAACAGATTCCAAAAACATGAATCACAACTCAATTAAGTCATTTGTGGCTCAGAAACATACCTGCATTAAGTGCCAGCATTTATCCGTGTCTTATTCAACTGCTAATCTCTACTGACAAATAGTTTTGGGGAAGAGAGGGGAAACAAAAATCAGATCTGCAAACACAGTCCAGGATATGAAAACCTTGCACATGGAGTATCTTGGATTTGTAGCAATGGCAAAAAGGAGAATAAAAGGAAGGAAGGAAGGAAGGAAAGAAGAAAGGAAGAAAGAAAGTTTCCATTGGAATGCTACAAAAACAAGCTGGGGGACTCCTGAAGGCAAAGTTTGTGTGGACAGACTGACTGACAYCTCTGATTTACTTCTTTGAATCTGTAGCAAAATAAAGGACTACTGCAGACAGGCCAGGTTAGAATGGAAAGACAGAATGCTGCTCCTAAATCTCTCTACTTACCTGGTTAATGGTGAGGGTAGGTGGGACTTTGTGCTCCTTGGTCGTCTCTAGTGCTGAGGGGCAGAGAATTCAAATCGTGGCTGGCTCAGGGCTGCAGCCCTTCACSCTGCTTCCGTTGCTTCTAAGATCTCATTGGAAATCTCAAAGGGCTAGAGAGTCCCAAGGCCTCTATTAAGTTTCCAAAAGAACATCCCTCCCCTACCCGCACCCCCCTTTGCTTGCGTTGACTTTGGGTGGCTCGGGTTTCTTCCTCTCCTGCGCCGAGCAGCTGGGAGCCCAGGCGTTGCTGGCAGAGTCAGGCAGCCACTGAAACACTTCCAGATGTGCTGGGCAGGGCGGGCCAGCTCGGATGGGCCAGCTCGGATGGGCCAGACTTCCTCTCATAGCATCGTCCTGCAGTCTGCTTGCAAATCGTATCTAAAACACGGCTGTTCTAGAGGAAAAGAATCAAACCGAGGGAAGAGCAAATGCTCCGAGGGTGAATTTCAACCACACGTTAGATCTAACATAAACTCTGAAAGAGAAGGTAAAAATAAATTCATGCTGGTTTTGAGAGTCTTTGCAGCCTCTAGCTGCTCCTGAAATCTCTGCTCATTGAAATGCTGTCGTCTGCAAATCAAAACCCAGACAGCAACTATCGTCTCAGTCTACCAAGGCATGATAATGTCYGAAGTTTCAAGATGGAGTGTATCCTGCCTGAACCCAGAGAAGAATCACTCAGGGGGTTGGCATCAAGGACATCTATGTTGTTCTGTATTTCTGCCATTGATTCTCAGGAATCCTGGAAATGGCACCAGCACACTTTGCCTGGAATCATAGTACTGATTCTGCAGTGATCCCTCTCCTCTCCCTAGTTTCTACAAGGAACTAAGGTTGCCCACTCTGTCGCCTTCAGGAGTGGTACCCTCCTATTGAAACAGGATGCAAAGCCACACTGTAATTTTAAATGTTCTAGCAGATGCCTTAAGAGAAGTGCAAAGAAATAAAATTGATTTAAATGATATATTTTATTTTACACAAGATAAAATATCATTTCATCACACAGTAAAAAATATTATTAACAAGACATTTCACTTTTTTTAACTGTGTCTTTGAAATCTGGCATGTGTTTTATTTTAATTTTTTTTCCTCTCTCTCTCTATCTATTTATTTATTTTTTTGTGGTGCTGGGGATTGAACCCAGGGCCTTGTGCATGTGAGGTGAGCACTCTACCAACTGAACTATATCCCCAGCTCAATTTTAATTTTTTATTTTTTAAAAAAATATTTTTTAGTTGTTGATGTATCTTTATTTTTTATTTATTTATATGTGATGCCGAGGATGGAACCCAGTGCCTCACATGTATTAGGTAAGCGCTCTGCCACTGAGCCACAACCCCAGCCCTTAATTTTTATTTTAAGACAGGGTCTTGCTAGGTTGATTAAGGCTTTGCTAAATTGCTGAGGGTAGCTTTGAACTTGCGATCTCCTGCCTGCGCCTCCTGAGTCTCTAGAGTGTATTTTACACTTGCAGTAAATTTCAATTCAAATCCTATTGGAAATACTTGATATGTATTTAGATTTCATAAAATTTACAGTTTAAAAAGTGGATTTACATATTTGGATTGTTTCAAATAAATTCGAAAATTTTCCCAACAACTGAAAGGAGTAATAGTTTTTCAATTCAAAATTAATCAAAATTTAGTAAAATTTAAAATTCAGTACTTCAGTTGCACCAATCACATATTAAGTACTCATTAGCCAATGTGGTCGGGGGCTACTAAATTGAATAATACAGTTTCTAATGGCTTAGTGGGATTTTCTCAGACTTAAACTAGGAGAGTGGGAGTATCTGAATATCTTCCACTTGCACAGAATTTTGAACATTGCCAAAGCATTTTCACTTCTACTTCATTTTATTCTCACAACATTTCTTTTTGGTAAATTGAACTTTGCTCCGATTTTCAGATGAGTAAACTGAGGCTTTGAGCAAGTGAATGCCTAAGTGTCCAGAGCAAGTTAGTGATGAAACCGAGATTGGAATTCCTGTTCGGCAMTTCTCGACTGTGTTCTTCTTGATGTATATTTCAAACACTAGGWTTTTGGGTTAGGACAGTAGGGTTAGCTCCTGCAGCACCCTGTTGCCATGTGGGCAGAATTATTCATCTCCTAGCAGAGTTTCCTTACAAACTCCTACCCTGAAGCCCTCACCCACTCAAGCAAGCGTGTCCTCTTTCTTTGGAGCAGGCTTGACCTTAGCTGTTACTCCTCTTTTGCCACTCCCAGAAAGTCATACCTTTTTTTTTTTTTTTTTTTTTTGGAGCCAACAATTGAACAGAACCCAGGGGTGCTACCACTGAGCCACACCCCCAGCCCTTTTTATTTTTTATTTTGAGACAGCGTCTTGCTAAATTGCTTAGGACCTCACTAAGTTTCTGAGCCTGGCTTTGAACTCAAGATCCTCTTGCCTCAACGTCCTGAGCCACTGGGATTACAGTGTGCGCTCCCACACCTGGCAGTTGTACCCGATTTTAAACCACAATCATTCAATGTTTTAGCTAACATAAACAGATGTAAGGGGCAGCCTGTGCATTTCAGTCAACAGTGGACCACATATATGACAATGGCCCCACAAGATTATAAAGGAGCTGAAAAAGTTTCTATCCTTGAAACATTCCTGTCACACCTTTTATTCTTACCTTTATATATATATTTAGATAAAAAACACTTACCATTGTGTTACAACTGCCCTCGGTATTCAGTACAGTAACATACTGTGCAGACTTGAAGCCTAGTACAACTTATTTATCTGTTCATCCATCAATGGACATTTGAGATTGTTTTCATATCCGTGCTACTGTGAAAAATGCTACAATGAACACAGGGGTGTAGGTATCTCTTTGAAGGCTGGAGATGTGACTCAGTGACAGAGTGTTTGCCTGACAAGCACAAGGCCCTGGGTTTGATCCCCAGCACCGCAAACACAACAAAACGGGTATCTCTTTGAGATACTGATTTCATTTCCTTTGGATACACACTTAGAAGTAGGGTTGCTGGAGCATATGGTAGTTCTGATTTTAACAATCTGAAGAATCTTCATACTATTTTCCACAATAGTTATGTCAATTTTATTATTGTTATTGAATAACGAAGGCCCAAGATGTGAAATAAGGAAAATATTTGTTGTTATCATCAACTTTTAATTAAAAAGTCCAGGGGCTGGGGTTGTAGCTCAGTGGCASAGTGCTTGCCTCACACATGTGAGGGACATGTTAAGTGGTGTAGAAACACTGCTGGTAGCCTACTTAATAATTTTTCTCTGTTTCTTCCCTTCTAATAGAAACTCTATTTGGGGCAGCAATATACATAGTTAAAAAGACCTCCCTAGTTGTCCGTCAGTTAGGGTGGCATGTCAGCAGAAGTATGCTGTCTGGGACTTCCTAAAAAAGAGCTGTTTGGCGTCGCTTGCCCTTTCTTCCTGTCTGAAAAACAACYTGACGGTGGAGGTGAAATGACCACCTTGGTGCTCCGAAATCAAAGTCCACATTGTGCTGCTGCACTGGCCACACCAGCTGTGGGCAGAGACTGCAGAGCTGAATCAGGCAGAGTCCTGGCAGGACACAGATGGCTCCCTCACCAGGGCCTGGTGGAGTCGTCTTAAAAAGACACAGTTTGAAATGGGTGCTTAGCATTACGAACACGTGGTTAAGAGATGTAGCAAACACCCTGAGGTTAGCAATAGCCAGGAGTCAATAATAACAACCACAGTTCTTTTTTTTTTATTTAAATTTTTTAGTTGTAGGTGGACACAATACCTTTATTTTATTTATTTATATGAGGTGCTGAGGATCAAAYCCAATGCCTCACACATGCCAGACAAGCACTCTACCTCTGAGCTACAATCTCAGCCTCAATAACCCCAGTTCTAAAGGCAGAGGAGAGAGTGCTTTCCAGGAATGAGGGCGAGACAGTAACAAGAGCAGCCCTCCTACGGGGATTCAGCCAACTTGTGATCTGTACAAAAGTGGCCAGGAATAACTACCCTAACTTCACAATCTCCTGTAGGTGATGACTTCTCCTGGCCGAACACAGCAAAAGAAGGGCAAGGGAGCTGGAGTGATATAGTCAGCCTCTCAGGATATTGAACAGGTTGAAGAAGAATAGAGTAGATCTGTACAAGTAAACGGAGAATATCCTTGCACAATACCCAAAGGGTCCTGCATCCTATTGACATCCAGATTCAGCATCCTGTTAGAACMGAAAATTCCCTTAACCTAGTCATTGCAAGTTGTAGCATAATGCATTATTTGTGAGTTTATGGCGATGCTGGTATAAACAAACCTGCTGTGCTGCCYGTCATATAAAAGTGCAGCACATATAATTTTGTACAGTACACAATATATGTAATAAATGACTATATGATTAGTTTGTATGTTTACTATACTTTTTATTATTTGAAAGTTTAGTCCTTCCTTTTTACAAAAAAAAGAAAGAAAGAAAGAAAGGAAAGAAGGAAGGAAGGAAGGAAGGAAGGAAGGAAGGAAGGAAGAAAAGAAAAAAGGAAAAAGAAAAATGAACTCTAAAACAGCCCTAGGCCTTCAGGAACAATGCAGAAGATGGCACTGTCATCAAAAGAGAAGATAGCCCCAGGTGTGTCACTGCCCTGAAGACATTCCGGCGTACTGATAAGATATAGAGGTGGAAGCAAGCAATACTGATAATCCTGACCCTGTGCAAATTTAGGCTAATATGTGTGCTTGTGTCTTTGTTTTTATTCGCAAAAAAGTTAATAACTAAATAGACTATACCTTGCAGCCCAAGTGTGTAGCAGGCTGTACCCCTTGGTTTCTGCAAGTGTACTCCTTGATGTTTGCACCCTGACCAATTCACCTCACTGTGAACATTTCTTATTTCTTAGAACATAAGAACTCTTTGACACATGACTATGTGCACTTCACATGCATATCAAATCTGTGGCATCATTTGTCAACCAAATAGGCATCTGAGTCATTATTACATCATGTTTATTGTTTTTTAAATTTTTTCTTAGTTGTTGATAGATCTTTATTTATTTATACGTGGTGCTGAGAATCTAACCAGTGCYGCACACATGCCAGGCGAGTGTGATACCACTGAGCTACAGTCCCAGCCCTCATGTTTTTATCTTTTATTAACTGAAGATCAAACTTCACCATTTCTTCTTGCCAATTAGTCCTGCCTTGGCTGAGTGTATTACTTATAGATAAGGTCTTAGATAAAAATCTATTAAGGCCACTGAAGGTGGCTGGAAGGAAAGGAAGACACATTCTTTAGTGGTAGATGAATCACTCACTACTCTGGGTCAGGCTGATAAGTCTTTCATTGCCTCTATCTCCCATGGCTGGGCTCCAAGATCACACGCGATCACAAATACAAGGCACCCAGTGCAACAGCAGCCTCTCKTCCCTCTTTTGGTTGGTGGGGTTCAGCTGTGGGTCATCTTCTGGCTGGCTTTGTCTTCAGCACTCGGGGCTCTTCCCTGTTCCCCTCTGAGCGGCAGGCTCCTGCCCTGAGTCCTGGCACCTGGGTTCTCTCCCTYCCGCAAGCTACAACTGCTTTTCTTCCTTGGCTCTTGTGCCCAGGTCCTTGTTCTGGTGACTGGGATAGCTTCCGCCTGGCCTAGAGCCCTGTCTAGCTCTTTCCACTGCTCTCTCCATGCTCTGGCTCTCATTCTAGCCAAGACCTGTGGCTGAAGCCCTRCAATCTGTGAACAGGCCTCTCAGACACCATCTGCTTCCCTGGTCCCATGAACAGTGCCTGCCCAGGCTCTCTCTCTTGAGTTCAGCCCACCTGCTAGCACTCCCTGAAACCTCTTCTCAGACCTCTGCCAAGAAGCCCTTGGCCTGAGTCCTCAACTGAGATTAAGGTATTCCTTGAATTTTTCAATTTTTACTTGGCTGAAAACAGCACTGTCTGCCACCTCTGGCCCCAGCCCTCTTTTGCTGATTCCTCAGTGCCCTCCAACTCAGGAGGATTAGGATCGGTTGTAATATAATGAAGATGATGATAAAGGTAAAACTAAATGCTGACTCCATGAGTGCCAGGCGCTGCATGAGTACAGCAGCAGTCCTTGCTTTCATGCAAGCAGCACAAGAATATAGACCTTGCATGTTCTCAGCACTTCCTTACTTGTTACTCATTCTTGGACTCTCTGCCTTTTCCTCCTCCACCAAAAGTGTTTTAATTTAGGTCAATAATAACCTCCTAATTTGCAAATCCAACAGACACTTCTTCCTCCTCTTACCTRAACTCTCTATGGCTTCTGGCTTTGAAAACCACTTCCGCCTCTAAAAAACCCCCCTTCCCTGTGGTTCCTTTGACAGGCCAACCCTCACCCAGTTCCCTTTTGACCTCTCTGGCTACTCATTCCTCGTTCTCCATTTCTTTCACATGTACCTCCTCCAATCTTTACCTTTTACATGATGGCTTCTTCAGGACCCTATGCTCCCTCCCTCTTCTCTTCCCTATCTGTACTCTCTTCCTAGGTGATTATTTCCATTCCTGTAGTTTCAAAGATGGAAGGTGGCTTTCTGGAAAATTGGGAACCCATTTAGGATCCTCATTTAAGGAAAGATGAATCAGTTGTTTTGGCAAAATATCTTTTCCTTTGGATTAAGTAGTTTGTCCCAGACTGAACTGTGTCACCCAAAAAGATATGCTATAGTCCTAGCCCCTAGTACCTGTGACTTTATTTGGATATGGTGTCTTTGCAGATATAATCAAATTAAGATGAAGTCACAGGGTAGGCGTTAATCCAATATAATAAGTGAATTTAGAAAAGAGATAAAGACACACGGGGAGAGTATCATGTGACGATGGACGAAGAGATTGGAGTGATGATTGGCAAGACAAGGATCACCAATGATTGATGGCCACCACCAGAGGCCAGAAAGAAGCAAGGAAGCATTCTCTCCTACAGGTTTTGGAGGCAATCATGGCCCATGCTGACACCTTGATCTTGGAGTCCTATTCTCTAGAACTCAGATAATACATTTCTACTGTTTTACTCCACTGGGTTTGTGGTCCTTTGATACAGCAGTCTCAGGACACCAGCACACACACTCCATTGTCCTACAGCTCCTAATTTTTAAAATTGTAGATTAAGGAYACAATACCTTTATTCTATTTGTTTATTTTTATGTGATGCTGRGGATCCAACCCAGTGCCTCTCGCATGCTAGGCAAGAACTCTACCCCTGAGCCACAACCCAGACCCTACAGTTCCTGCTTTAAGCAACTAGCTGTAATTTGCAATGTGTTTTGTGCTGAGAATATTTTGCCTTCATCTTTCCCCTAGTTCATTAGGTTCTCAGCTTTCAAATATCATACACTATTTTCTTAAAAATTTGAATATTAATATTAGGTATGCAATTTAAATTTTTTTCTTAGTCTTCTGCTGTAGGGCATTAGGRAAAAAAGCAATTATTTAAGCACTGCAGTCCCAGAATAAAATATAGTTCTTTAAGGGAAATACTTTGGGTTTTATGAAACTCACTGCTTTATTCCAACTTTCCAGTTTTCAGACCCATAAAAACTTTACAACAGAAACACTTTAGAATCTATATCATATATGCCACAAAGAAAAGATATTAATACGGAAGATATTAATATGGAAGACATCTTTTCTTTGTTCCTAGACATCTTCCCTTCTCTTCCAATTTTTTTTGGACATAATATGATATTGGACTAATAACTGGCAAGAGGGATAATTTAGGGATGGGGAGGTGTAGCTCAAGTGGTAGAGCATTTATTCACATATGCAAGGTACTGGTCCCTTAGCACCAGAGAGAGAGGGAGGGAGAGAGAAAGTGAGGGAAGGAGAGAAAAAAAATCTATTTATAAAGCAGAAGCTGGAAAGAACAGGAAAAAAGCCCTTGGGGGGCTACTGGAGATTTGACTCAGGGGACGTTTTAGCACTGAGCCACATCTTCAGTCCTTTTTATTTATTTTTAAATATTTATTGTTTAGTTGGACACAAAATGTTTATTATTTTTAGTGCTGAGGATGGAACCCAGGGCCTAGCATGCTATCCTGAGTCACAATCCCAGCCCCTAGCCCTTTTTATTTTTGAGACAGGGGCTCTGGAACTTGATCTTCCTGCCTCAGTCTCCGGAGGGCTGAGGTTATAGGGCACTGTGGGCAGCAGGAAAAAATGTCTATTTAAAGAGAGAATTATCTCTCAAAGCAAATGAGAAGGTAGAGAGGCATGCTTAAGTTTGAGGGAACTGGGGGAGCCTGAGTTCAGCRTAAGAAATTGAAAATGATGTGAGGAAAAATGAATTTCAGGAAATTTGCTGAATTGTGTGAATGGTCCCTTCAGCGTCTCTTAATTTGAGGTTTAATGAAGAGATTTAATGCCCCCCTCATCCCCGACTGGACTTTTTATTGCTTTTCATATTTATTTATTTRGGTATCCGGGATTGAACCCAGGGGTGCTTTACCACTGAGCCACATCCTCAGCCCCTTTTTAAATAGTTTATTTAGAGACAGACTCTCACTGAAATTACTAAAACTGGCTTTGAACTCGGATCCTTCTGCCTCAGCCTTCCAATCTGCTGGGATTACAAGCGGGGCCACTGTGTTGGGCTTTATTGTGCGTGTTTAAGGTATCCAACGTGATGTTTTCGGATACATTTAGATAGTGAAAGGTTACCTTAGTGAAACAAATAAGTACAGCTATCATCTCACACTGTTACTCGTGTGTGTGTGTGTGTGTGTGTGTGTGTGTGTGTGTAGAATCCCATGTACAATTTTTGAACTCAATGGACTTGTATTTCTCTGGGTTACGGTGTGGGATCAAATCATAAGGCAGCTGCACTGTTTTAAGGGCTGCCTGTGACTATATGAACTCTCTCAGAGGCCGTATGTATGGGGTTCAGGCTGGGAGCTCTGAGACTGGAACCCCTGTAGTTGAATCCTCGCCCCCAGTCCTTTTCTGTCTGTACCTGAAAGAATTTCTTCCCTGTCCTGTGCCTCCTTTCTCCACCCACAAAAGGGAATTAGCAATACGCATCTCGCTGGACTGTTGGAAAGACAAATTAATAGAGAGAGGGCAACTAAGGACGCTGCCTGGCAGTGGACGTCCGTCGGTGGATTGCTGGCAAGAAGAAATAAATTTACACAAAATTTGTCACCTGCTGAACCTAACAAACCCAAGTCACCTTCTGTGGTTCACCGTTTCTAAATTTCTGGCTTGGCGTCCCTCAAACCCGACCTCGATTCCCTGGGCAGGCTTTGCAGCGACCTTCCCTCGGGCGGGCAGAGATGCAACTCCCGGTTGCAGATCTCCCGGAGCCCGCCTGCTCGGGCGTCCTCCTCTGCCAAGAGCTCCCAGCACTTCGCACCTCTACTCGAGCTTTTCCCCGGTGGTGAGCGGCGACCGTTTGCAGGGGCTGACCCGCCTGCATAGGGTAGATGTTCAGTTAAAGTGGACGCGAAGGACAACGTTGTACTTTCTCCCCCAAATACTCCAGTGGGGGCGCGGGGCGAGAGGGGTAGCCGCGGTCGGCGGGACAGTCCTAGCAACCCAGGACTCGCGGCCCCGGGTCGGACCAGCCACGTCGCTGCGGGCCGGGGCGGGGCTCCGCAGAGGACTGGCCTGGGGCGCCCGCCGTCACGTGACGCCCCTCCCGCGCGCACCGCTGGGGGCGGTCCCCGCCCTCCCCCGGAGCCGAGGCGCTGGAGCGGGCGCGGTGCACTGTGGGCAGAGGGGCGGGGGTTGGGAAGATGGCGGCTCCCAGCCTCCTCAACTGGAGGCGGGTTTCCTCCTTCACGGGGCCGGTACCCCGCGCCCGGCACGGACACCGAGCCGTGGCCATCCGGGAGCTGATGATCATCTTTGGCGGGGGCAATGAGGGCATCGCGGACGAGCTGCACGTCTACAACACCGGTAGGCGCGGCGGCGACTCTTCGGCCCCGCCTGCGGGAGCCGCGGAGGGGGAGGGGAGACGAGGCGGCGGCCGCGGCCCTGACAGCTGTCACCGCCCGGTCACCGCTTCCTCGGCTGGGCGGCCCGGGCCCGCAGCATCTTGGACCGCAGCTCCGCTTCCCCGGGGCCCCGCGGGGCGGGTCGGACCCGGAGCCGGGGCACCGCTCCTCAGGTGGGCCGCCCCGACCCCCGCGCCCCCGCCCGGCCGGCAGACCTCGGAGAGACACGGCGTCCACCCGCCTGGGCCTTTGCTGCGGCCTCGCCCACTGCGGGGGCCGGGGTACCGCCGCTGTCAGGAAACAAAACCCCCTCCAAGCCAGAGCGCCTCCGGGCCGTGCCTTCTCGCCTTCCTTCCTCGGCTCCTCAGGAGGAAGGGCTTAGCGGGCGAGGAGGGAGAGGGTCCTTCTGCGACCCTGCGCTCAGTACGGCCCCAAATCCGGCCGAGCTTCGCGGTTTCCCCGGTCGGTCGCCCCTGACCCAGCGGGGAGGTGGCTGGGGGCGAGCCCGGCCTGGTCTCTGCGGCCGGGGTGCGTGCGGCGCCGTTCGCGACCCGTCTCCCGATACGAGGTGTCACGACTTGACCCCCTGCAGACCGCAGGTGCCGCTGGTTAGCGAGGCCGCCCTGCCCTGGACTCTCCGTGGCTTAGAAAGCTGGAATTTATTGTTTTCCCTCCACTTGCAAATACTCCAGTTATCTGAAGAAATCGGTGCCCTTGATGTAAGGCTAATTACTGAATTGGGGGTTGATTTCATGATCGACAACTTTTCTTTGACCAAACACCGTAATCCCAGTGGTCTCTTTAAAGTTTAACAGAACAGTAAGAGTAGGGAACTTTTTCGTCCTCTCCTCCTCGGAACAACCCAGAGTATAACGTTAAAAAGCTATGGATTTAGTATGGTGTGAAAACTCTGGCTTTCGAACAAATTTGACCTAACTTGAATCTTTTCTGCCAATTATCCAGAATCAGCATTAAATTTACCAAGTCTTTCAAAATTTCAGATTTTTATTTGTAAAACCGCGAAGATACTCACCCAGCAGAGAGTTTGTAAGAATTGGATGATATAGATCGGTTTTTTTTCAACAATAGCACTGTTGACATTTAGGGCCAGATGATCCTTTGCTGTGGGGTATTATTGTGTACATTGTAAGATGTTTGACAGCATCCCTGGCCTCTGTCCACTACTTACCAGTAACATTTCCATTTCCAGTTGTGACAACTAAATTGTTTCCAAATGTTGCCAAAGGATGATTCCCTTGGGGGTGGGAATCATCCCCAGTTGAGAACCACTGACACAGATGATACCTATAAAATATATATTCATAGAATGTGATAATCATTGTTATAATTGATTTTAATTTTATTTTGGCAATTAGTTACAAATCAGTGGTTCCTACCAGCTGTTAGAGGAGACATCCCTCCAGGCTGTGCTGCCCATGGATTTGTCTGTGATGGTACCAGAATATTAGTATTTGGGGGAATGGTTGAATATGGAAGATACAGCAATGAGTTATATGAGTTACAAGTAAGTGTATTTAAGATTTATTATTTCAGTCTAAAGTTTTAATACTGATACTGGTCATAATTCATCAAAAGATTGCAAAATATTTCATTAGCATATTTAAAATAGCATGAACTTCACACTTTATAGCTTGAAAGAAAATGTTTCCACTTCATTTAAAAGCCAAACTTTCTAGTCTAAGTTCTTTTCCATGCCCAGTGTGACATTTGTAACATTAAGTTAAATGTTTTACATKACTTGCATGTGTTATATGTTTAGGTTTTTGTATCTTAGTGTAATAGTTTTTCATTTTTAACCTGTAACAGAAGCACCTGAAGGATTTGTGAGAACAGATTGCTTGGCCCTGCCCGGAAGCTATATTGTCTCGAGTGTGGCCTGAACATTTGCATTTCTGCCAAGTTCTCAACTGATGCTGCTGGTTCCAAGACTGTATACTTGGAAAACCACTGCTTTGATGTCATACAAATTGTTACCTCTCACACTAATCATTACTCCCTGTTTTTCCCTGATCCCCCACAATATGTGAAAAAGAGGGTTTCAGTACATATAATCATTTCTAAATTTGACTCCTTTATTAAACCAGATCCCTCCTTGACTTTTCTTGATTTGTGCATGTTTCCAGGGTCATTATTTTGAGGTTATCTGCGAGTTGGCAGATGTAGATGAATTATGCTTATTTACCAGCAACCCATTTCAAAAAGTTTGAGACAAAGAAAGCTTTATAGCTAGAGTATAATTTTGGAGGTTTGGTTTGTGAAATGAGCTTTATGTTAATTTAAATGTTAAAATACTTAGCATATATGGGTTACCTAATATTTGAAAATAAGTAAATAAGTAAAAAATTACATTTAATCTTAAAGGTATACATAATAAAAATTTTTTAAGTTGGAAAACATTAGTATTGTTAATGTTATTATTATTTATAAGCTTAGTATACCATTGTGGAAATCCTTATATATAGAAAAATTAATTAGAATTTCTACATATATTTTAATTATAGAAATTATTTGTTATTTGTCATTTGTTTCAAAAATTGCTTATTGAAGACTTCTGATGGCATTTGGTTGAAAATATATTGGTATGATGCACTGTTGACAGTGTAGGAATAGGAATGCTTTCCTGATTTTACCTCAGAGTGTTTGGTCTTTTTCAGGCAAGTCGATGGTTATGGAAAAAAGTGAAACCCCACCCCCCTTCTTCTGGTTTACCTCCTTGTCCTCGGCTTGGACATAGTTTTTCTTTATATGGTAACAAATGCTACTTGTTTGGTGGTCTGGCAAATGAAAGTGAAGATTCAAACAATAACGTTCCCAGGTATGCCGACTCTTGTTTTAGATCAAATGCTTATTTTATGATTTAGATGAGGATCATTTGATTTCTTCCATCTTTATTATAAGGGATAAAGCTTAACTTTTTTTTTTTAACTTTTAAACCTAACAATGAACAAATTTTTATGTACTTGTATTTTCCTTAGTCTCTGGAGTGTATCTGTTTTCAATCAGAAATTATCTTACTAAATTTATATTAATATAACTTGTATTAATATATTTATGTGTCTTGATCTATAATGTATGTTTGCTAGTTCATTAATGATAACCAAAAGAAACAGATGGTTATTTAAAATTATATTTTTCTGGGAATTTAGTGATAAAAATATGACTTATAAAATCATTTCCACATTTCATAGGAGAAATTCTTAAAAGTGATTCACACTGGCAAACACTTTTCCTCCTTTTTCTAAACACAAGTAATCACTATCTCTTTTTTCTGTAGTTTTAGTGTAAAAGCTCTGCTTTTTCTCTTTTTTTTTTAGAGAATTTTTTTTTTTAATATTTATTTTTTAGTATTCAGCGGACAGAGCATCTTTGTTTGTATGTGGTGCTGAGGATCGAACCCGGGCCGCACGCATGCCAGGCGAGTGCGCTACCGCTTGAGCCACATCCCCAGCCTCAAGCTCTGCTTTTTCTTATTTTGTTAAATTCCTAATTTAAGAAAAWTTTTTGTTGATATTGTGAGTTTGATTTCTTAAATTTTTTGTTTATTGCTAGTTTATGGAAATAAAATTGGCTTTGTATGTTGACTTTGTATCCTGTGACCTTGCTGAATTAATCTTTTCAATCATTTTCATGGATTTCAGTTTTTCTTTTTCTTATTGAGATTTAGGATACACACACACACACATATGAAAGTATTGGTTTGTTTCTTAATGTTCCAAATATTTTTTTAGGTTTCTCTTTGCCTATTTAAAACAAGCTTTTTCTTTTCTTTGGTGGTGTTGGGGATTGAACCCAGAGCCTTGTGCATGCGAGGCAAGCACTCTACCAACTGAGCTATATCCCCAGCCCCTTTACAGCTTTCTTATTTTGTATCTTCTTTAAAAAGACTCTTCCTCAGGGCTGGGGATGTGGCTCAAGCGGTAGCGCGCTCGCCTGGGCACGCGTGCGGCCCGGGTTCGATCCTCAGCACCACATACAAACAAAGATGTTGTGTCTGCCAAAAACTGAAAAATAAAAAATAAATATATTTAAAAAAAAAAAAGACTCTTCCTCTCCAAAATTATAAAAAAAATAGTTTTTCTCTCATTTCTTCTAATACATTCACAGTTTTGTTTTTTGTGTTTAGAACATTGACTGGGGATATAGCTCAGTGGTGGAACACTGGCTTAGCATATGTGAGGCCCTGKGTTCCATCCCCAGCACCACATTTAAAAATAAAAATCAATACATTTGGAATATACTTTTGTTATTAGTGTAAGGCTTTTCCCTCTTTTTCCTAATTGATTTCTTTCCATTTCTTCCAATACTATTTACTACGTAAGCCTTTTTTTTTTTTTTTTGGTACTGGAAATTGAATTCAGGGGCACTCAACCACTGAGCCACATCCCCACCCCTATTTTGTATTTTATTTAGAGACAGGGTCTCACTGAGTTGCTAAGCGCCTTGCCATTGCTGAGGCTGGCTTTGAACTCGTGATTCTCCTGTCTCAGCCTTCTGAGCCACTAAGATTACAGGCATGCATCGAGCCAGCTTATATAAGCCATTTTAAAATGCCTTAATTTTTATATAAATGGTTCATTTCTAGGCTTCCTACCAGGAGTTGCAGACTGTGCTTTGTGGGCAAAGTTTGCCTGCTGGCCTATTTTTATTTATGAAGTTTTATTGGATGGGCTGGGGTTGTGGCTCAGCTGTAGAGCTCTTTCTTGCCTAGCACCTGTGAGGCCCTTGGTTCAATCCTCAGCACCACATAAAAATAAATAAAATAAAGGTATTGTGACCAACTCCAACTAAAAAGTAAACTTTTTTTTTTTAAAGTTTTATTGGAAGATAGCCATGTCCATTCATTTGCTTATTATGTTTGGTTGCTTTTGTGTTAAAATAGTAGAGTTGAGTAGTTGCAACAGACTTTGTGGTCCACAAAGTCTAAAATATTTATTATCTAGCCCTGTACAGAGGAAGTTTGTTGACTMTTGCTTTAAACTTTATTCTGTGTCATTAATTTATTTACTTTTCTATCGTTAATTGCATTGTTTTCTGGTATATGCCTTTAATGAGGATATTTTATGCTTCTTTTGGTACTGTGGTTTGAACCTAGGGGTGCTTTACCACTGAGATACATCCCTAATCCTTTCTTAAATTTAAAAAAAATCTATTTTGGGGGAGTGGGGTACCAGAGATTGAACTCATGGGCACTCTACCACTGAGCTACATCCTCAGCCCTTTTTTTTTTTCGTATTTTATTTAGAGACAGGATGCCACTGAGTTTCTTGGTGCCTGGCTGTTGCTGAGGCTGGCTTTGAACTCGCAGTCCTCCTGCCTCAGCCTCCCAGACCACTGGCTGAGATTACATGTGTTCGCCAGCGGACCTGGCTGAATTGTTATTAAATTCTTAAATATGAGCCACATTTTTATTCCTAGTTAAGACTCCTTTTATTATATTACAGAATTTGTTTCATACCTTGTCAAGTTCACATTGCTAATTTAAAAAAAATATATACACACACACACATACACACACACACACACACACACACACATACACTCTCAATGATTTTGCCTATTTTATTTGGGGAGTGAGTGCTATATCTGTTATTGATTGGTCATTATCTTCATTTTTAGTATTTCTTTTTTTAAATATTTGTATATTTTTTTTAGGTCTAGATGGACACAATACAATGCCTTTATTTTTATGTGGTGCTGAGGATTGAACCCGGGTCCCGCCCTTGCTAGGCAAGTGCTCTACTGTTGAGCTACATTCCCAGCCCCAGTATTTCTTTATATTAAGAAAATTTGGTAGGGGCGGGAGTTGTAACTCAGCAGTGGAGCACTTGCCTAGCATGTGCGAGGCTTTGGGTTCCATCCTCAGCACTACGTAAAGATAAATAAATAAAATAAAGGTATTGTGTTCATCTGCAATTAAAAAACTAAAAAAAAGAAAATTTAGCCTTTTCCTGTGATGTCTAAAAAACAAACAAACAAACAAACAAAAAACATTTTTCCAGTTTGATCTTTTTCTTTCTTTCTTTCTTTTTTTTTTTTTTTTTTTGGTACTTGGTATTGAACCCAGGAATGCTTTACCACTGAGCTACATTCCTGGTCTTTTTAGTTTTTTAAAATTTTGAGACAAGGTCTCACTAAATTGCTGACTGGTTTCGAACTTGCAGCCCTCCTGCCTTAGCCTCCCCAGTCACTGAGATTACAGGCATGTACCACTATACCTGGCTTTGACCTTTTTCTTTTCATACAGTTTATGGTGGGTCTTTCTAAAAAAAAAAAAAAGTCTCATTAAATGTTTTCTGTGTGGTATGCTTTACTTGTTTACTTGTTTTACCATTTTTAATTTTTTTCTTAATTCTTTGCTTCCCTCAGTTGCTTAGAAATTAACACTCATTTTAAACTGAAAATGTCTTATCACCTCTGGGAATAAATTGCTGTCTTACCATTAGCATTCTTTTGCCTATCACCTTTTGCTGTATGTTCAATATATTCTTGAATCTATTCTGGACTATAGTGATGTTAAGAAATTAGCTTTTTAGTAATTTTTTTTTTCCAGTACTTGGATTGAACCCAGGGGTACTTCATCACTGAGCTACATCCCCACCCCCCTACTTTTTTTTTTTTTTTTTTTTTTTAAATCTCGAGACAGGGTCTTGCTAAGATGCTCAGGTTGGCCTCAAATTTGAGATCCTCCTGCCCAGGTTGCTAGGATTACAGATTGTGCCACTATGCCCTTTTTTAGTACATCTTTCTTAGTGACAATTAAGAATATCACTTTATCTGGGTGCAGTGGCATACGCCTGTAGTCCCAGCCGGAGACTGAGGCAGGAGGATCTTRAGTTTAAAGCCAGCTTCAGCAAAAGCGAGGCACTAAGCAACTCAGTGAGACCCTGTCTCCAAATAAAAAATAGAAAATAGGGCTGGGGATGTGGCTCAGTGGTCAAGTGTCCCAAAGTTCAATCCCTGGTACCACAAAAAAAAAAAAAAAAAAAAATGTAACGGGCTGGGGATGTGGCTCAGTGGTAGAGTGCTCACCTAGTACTTGTGAGGCCCTGGGTTTGATCTTCAGCACCATAAATAAATAAATAAATAAATAAATAAATAAATAAATAAATAMAATAAAGGTATTGTGTCCACCTACAACTAAAAAATAAATATTAAAAAATATAACCATAATTTACTGGTGTTTTGCTCTACCATTTCTCTTATGCCTTTCTTGAATTTCTTTTTCCTAGTTAACATTTTGAATCATTTTTTCCCAGAACAATTACATGGCTAAACTTTGAAGTTTTATATGTCCTAAAATGTTTTCTTTTGGTCTCTTTCTTTTTTTAAAAAATATTTTGAAAGTTATAGATGGACAGAATGCGTTTATTTATCTATCTATGTATCTATCTATCTATCTATCTATTTATTTATTTATTGTGCTAAGGATTGAACCCAGTGCCTCACRTGTCCTAGGCAAGCGCTCTGTCACTGAACCACAGCTCCAACCCTTGCCCTCATTCTTTTTTTTTTTGTTTGTTTGTTTTCAGTCGTCGCTGAATACAGTACTTTGATTTTATTTATTTATTTTTATGTAGTGCTGAGGATCGATCCCAGGCCTTGCTAGGCGAGTGCTCTATTGCCAAGCCATAATCCCAGCCCCTTGCCCTCATTTCTTAAGTAAAAATTTGGTAGGAAGTAGATTCCTACTAAAGTCATTTTGCTGAAAACTTTGAAAACATCCATAACACAAATAAGTTTAATGCCAGCGTCTAAAGTAAAGAAGCTACTTGGACATTGCTATGACATTGCAGTGGGGAGAAAAGTTGCAAAGCAGCATTTGTATATGCCTTGTTTATCATATGTTGACATCCAGAGAGAGAGGTGTCTAATAGGTATTTGCCCAAATATTGTATGAAGTATATGTTCTGGTTATCTATTACTGTGTGATAAACTGCCCAACGTTTAGTGCTGCAGAATTACAACTATTTTATTATGCTCATGAACTCTGTGGGTCAGAAATTCATACAGGACACAAAAGAGAAGGCTGGGCTCTGAAGTGGGAAGGTTTGAATGGTTACTCCCATATCTGATACCTCAACTGAGATGGCTGAAGGACATACTGAAAGTACTGTCACCCCATGTACCTATGGTGGCCTCTTCAGATGGTGGTTTTTTTTTTTTGGTAGCTAGACTTTTTTACATGTTCAAGAACAATGATTTTGTGAAGCTATATGGATCTGTGGAGAATCAAAGGGAGGAGTCATAGACCCCACCCCCTGATGGGAAGAGTGTCAGAGAATTTTGATTTGTGTTTTAAAGCTACCACCATTGTCACTGATACCTTCACTGTTGGCTAAATGATGGCAGGGATTTTTTTGCTCTCTTCTGTTCTCTGCTAAGCTCTGGAAGAGCACCTGGTACATAGTAGTATTTGGTAAATGTTGAATGAATGGTCTGGGGTTTCTGGTGGCTTTATGAATTTAACACTAATGCTAAAAACCATCATCTGAAGAGGTCACACAGAGTGGACAGTACCTTTGGCATGTCCTTCAGCAATCCCACTTAAGACATCAAACAGGGGAATAACCATTTAAACCTTCCTATTTGAGAGTCCAACCATTCTTTCTGTGCTCTGTCTCTTTTTTATTATTATTATTATTTTTTAGTTGTGGGTAGATAAAATACCTTTATTTTATTCGCTTATTTTTTTTTGAATTTTTTAATATTTGTTTTCTTAGTTCTTGGCGGACACAACATCTTTTTTGTTTGTGGTGCCGAGGATCGAACCCGGGCCACACGCATGCCAGGCGAGCGCGCTACCACTTGAGCCACATCCCCAGCCCCTTACTCGCTTATTTTTATGTGGTGTTAAGGATCAAACCCAGTGCCTCACACATGCTAGGCAAGTGCTCCACTACTGAGCCACAACCTCAGCCCCTCTGTGCTTTGTTTCTAATATGAATTTTTTTACATACTTTATGAATAGAAGCAAAAAACAGATAAAAGACATGTATTATCTGAATGTTTTCTTTTTTTTCATGATATGCAGATATTTAAATGATTTCTATGAGTTGGAGCTGCAGCATGGTTCTGGTGTTGTGGGATGGAGCATTCCAGTCACTAAAGGGATTGTGCCTTCTCCAAGAGAATCCCACACAGCTGTTATATATTGCAAAAAAGATTCTGGAAGTCCTAAAATGTATGTTTTTGGTGGAATGTGTGGTGCTCGCCTGGATGACCTGTGGCAGCTTGACTTAGGTAAACTTAACTTGACTCAGGCTAGATTGGTATGATTATAAGGGCAAATTTCAAATACCTTGAAAATGTTTTTTAAAAATATTTATTTATTTTTTAGTTGGACACAATATCCTTATTTATTTATTTTTATGTGGTGCTGAGGATCGAACCCAGGGCCTCGCATGTGCTAGGCAAGTGCTCTACCACTGAGCCACAACCCCAGCCCTTGAAAATATTTTTGATTATAGTATTTATTGAGTTGCATTAATTATAGCCTGTACTTGTAGTCTCAGACACAGATGTGATGCAATCAGTTAGGCTAAACAAATGAATTTGATATATGATAGTAACTCTTCTGTGTTCCCTGTAAGTAGTTTCACCAGAGGTTCTGGTTTACCAGATATGGTCCTGCTTTACCTGGTATGGTCCAGCTTTATGCTTACTGTTCTGTGTAATTATCAGTAGTACTCCATTTCACACTGAAAAGTGTCCAGTTGAAAGTTATATAAGGCTACCTTATCAATAGGAAATGTAGCATTAGCAATTAGTCATTAAAAAACCCTTAGGTAGCTTTTTCTGAAGGGACTCTAGGAATGAGTGACTAAAGGGCAAATGTGTCTCTCACCTTTAACTATAAAGTACACTATAGTAAATGTTTGTTGAATGAATGGTCTGAGGTTTCTGTTTACTATATGAATTTAATACTAATGCTAAAACCCACTGTCTGGGGCTGAGGGTTGTGGCTCAGAGGTAGACGCTTGCCTAGCATGCGTGAGGCTCTGGGTTTGATCCTCAGCACCACATAAAGTAAAATAAAGACATTGTGTCCACCTATAACTAAAAAAATAAATATTTAAAAAACCCAAAAACACGTCTGAAGAAGCCATACAGGTACGCAGGGTGACACTACCTTCAACATGTATAAAGTACACACAATGTACTTTTACTTGAAACATTAAAAACACTAATATTGTTCTTATTTCAGAATTGGTTGATACTCTAAGTACACCTTCTCCATAACAAATGCTAACATTCAAGTGTAAATAGATTTCTGTCTGTCAATTTATGTCAACTGAAAATGTTCATTTTAAGATGAAATTCATATAACTGCTGTGAAACATTTTTACTTCATTTTGACAAGTACTTACTTTGTTCTATTTTWAAAAAATTAAACAAGTTCAGGTAATTTGCTATATTAGATCAAGTTGCCAATATCCTTTTTTTTTTTACTTTTAGAAACTATGTCATGGTCAAAACCAGAAACTAAAGGGACAGTTCCACTTCCACGAAGCCTTCACACGGCCAGTGTTATAGGAAATAAGTAAGGATTTTTTTGTGTTGTTTTGCTTTAAAAAAAAAAAATAGATGTATGTAAAAGTGATACTCCTAGTTTCTTGGAAATAGATTACTGAACTTAATGATGTTTGTGCTAAAATACTTTATCATTTTCTTATCATACTGCTTCTTATATGTCTTTGTCATTTTCTTTCATATTGCCTCTTATACATCTTTATCTTTCTCACAACTCCTTATCCAGAGTAGGCACTACCTGAGTGTAAGGCAGGATGTTGTCAACTGATAGATTTTTTTGTGGATGGTTTGGTATACCAGATAGGTATACCACTGTTTCTTTTGACATATTTTTAGCACTGCTTGATTTGTATTCAGGCACATACAATAGTTGTGTTTGGAAGGACATATGGAGTTATGGTTAGAATACAGGCTTTGTAACTATATTGCCTAAATTCAAGCCTCAGGTTTCATACTTGTCTTTGTGACCTGGGGCAAGAAAATTTAATTCATCTGTACCTCAGTTTCCTCAAGAATACAATGCAGATTAAAGTAAAACTTCACAAAGTTTTAGTGAGGATTAAATGTATTAATACATAAAAATGCTTAGAACAGTGCCCTATACATTCAGAGCACTTGAAAAATATTAACTGTACAAGTATCCCTATTTATGTAACACTGGCCATGGTTAGGAGTACTATTTAAGTAGAACTTAATGAAGTATTTACTAGAACGGGGTTTTAACCTTAAATGTAATGTTTCAGGACAGTCCTAGTTATAATTTAGAATCTCACTAATTCACAGAATTGAAAACTCGGGACTTAATAGATTAATTGAAAAAGCTGGTAAGATCTGAGTAGTCTGAAGTTCAGTATTTAACAAGTGTTTTTTTTTTTTTTTTTTTTTAAAAAGCCAGTATGCACATGCCTGCAATCCTAGAGACCCAGGAGGCTGAGGTAGGAGAATCGCAAGTTTGAGGCCAATGTAGACAACTTAGTTAAACCCTGTCTCAAAATAAAAATAATGATTAAATAAAAGGATGGGGGATGTGACTCAGAAGTACAGCTCTCTTGGGCTCAATCCCCAATACCACAAAAATAAATAAATAAATAAAAGCTTCAGAGCCAAACAGAATCATTTTCACAGTTAAACATAATCTTGTACAATGCAGTTTTCCATTGGAATATTATATATTCCAGCATATAAAATTCAAAAAATGTGGAGTTTCCCTGATCGGCATAAGGACTCATGATCCATAAACTCTACCTGATGAACTTATCTTCTTTAGCAGCCATGAGGCTTTTCTCAAGAACCTCTAGGACTCTGAGGACATAGTTTTAAATTTATTTTTTGTTTTTTCTGGTATTAGGGATTGAACTCAGAGTCACTTTACCTCTGAGCCACAYACCTGGTCCTTTTTATTCTTTTTTATTTTTATTTTTAGTGTTGATGGACCTTTATTTTATTCATTTATTTATATGTGGTTCTGAGAATTGAACCCAGTGCCTCACGTGTCTGAGGCAGACGTTCTACCACTGAGCCACAACCCCAGCCCCTTCTTATTCTTTTTTCAGTTTTTAGAGAGGGTCTTGCTAATTTGCTGAGGATCTGTCAAGTTAGTGAGGCTGGCCTCAAACTTGTAATCTTTCTGCCTGAGCCTCTAAGTAGGTGAGATTATAGGCATRTACATATTGTGCTTAGCAGTCCTGAAACTGAGTCAACAAATAAATCTTATGTTCATTTTTAACATTCTAATCCAACAAGTGAAATTAAATCACCTACTTTCTGTTCTTGGTTTTCTGGTTTTTTTTTTTTTTTTTGATTGTTGTTCAGAATGTACATTTTTGGTGGATGGGTTCCACATAAGGGGGAAAATATTGAGACTTCACCTCATGATTGTGAATGGAGATGTACCAGTTCATTTTCTTACCTAAATCTAGGTGAGTCTTTTAAGATTTACTCATTGAAATAAGATTTATTAATAAAAGAATTTGTGAAATTTTGATGTTTAAGAATAATAGATCAGTCATGGATATTCCTATGGTTTTAGATACAGCAGAGTGGACCACTCTAGTATCAGATTCTCAGGAAGATAAAAAAAATTCAAGACCAAGACCAAGAGCTGGACACTGTGCCGTAGCAATTGGCACTCGATTATATTTTTGGAGTGGAAGAGATGGCTACAAAAAAGCACTGAATAGTCAAGTTTGCTGCAAGGATCTTTGGTATCTTGATACTGGTGGGTAAGAGTATTTAGCAAATAAAATCTATCCTTTAGGTAAATACTCAAATAATTTTTGTCTTTTAAGACTTAATTAAAAAAAAAGACTTAATCTAAATGACACTGCCTCTTTCCTATAATTAAAAAAAATGAGAGAAATAATTTGTGTAGATATTTCCCACAGCAGAGGAATATATATTAATTGCTCTTTTCTTGAGTGTAGCTTGAACTTAGAGATTTCTTTCTAAAGAATAGAGTATGGAAAGGGAAAAAACAGTAGTCTCATGGGGAAACCTGTAAGCACCACCTTACTGAAGTGATCAAGGTTAATGTCACTATTGATAAGTCATACTGACATATTTACCCTCCTGGAAATCATGGTAAGAAAGTACTTCATCATTGTGGTACTCTTCCCAAAAATCTATTACTTGAATCTAACTTTGAAAAATGTCAGATAAACTCAAATGGAGGAACGTTCTAGACTTTCTACAGAATATTTGTACAGCAATCTTCAAAAGATTCAAAACGATTAAAACATGACTAAGAAATAGTCTCAAATGGAGGAGTGTGAAATGATAAGATGACCAAAGGCAGCATGGTGTCCTGGATTGGATCCAAGAAGCCAAAAGACATTAAACCATTTTGTCCTATTGTCCCAGATTTGTGGAGTGTGTATAAAAACTTAGACATAGTTTATAAGATGCAACATAATTATATAAAAGGATCTAATTATAATTAACATTAATATTAATAAAATWATATATATAAATTMTAGATTATGATTTCCAACCTATTTCATAAGGCACCTATGTCAATTTTGTTGAAATAGTCACAGAGTTGAAAACTTGGAACTTAATGGCTTAATTGAAAAACGAGGAAATCTGAGTAGTGTGAATTTTAGTAAATAGTATTAATTAGTGGAAATTTCTTAGTTTTAGCAAATGTTGGGGAAAAGGTAGATGGCAACACTGTACTATCTTCATATCTTTTCTGTAGATCTGAAATTACCACATATTAAAGTGGGTTTTTCTTAAAGTGTTAGTGCACCAAGAATTTTTTAAATGTGAAACTCACATCCATTTTCAATAAATATTTACTGACAGCTGTGATTCAAAAATTGTTTTTTAAGTSCTGAGAATACAACAGTGAACAAGACTGGTAATGTCCCTACTTGCACAGATTTACATTATGAAAGAGTGTGAGGGCGGGGGATAACAAATAGTACGACAAGCAAATGAACAAAATAAGTACCATTTCTGGTAAGCATGTGGAGACATGAGATAGTGCTTAGAGGTACTGGGAATTGAGGCTGGTAGCTGCTTCAGAGTGAGTAGTCAGAAAAGGCCTCTGAAGAAATGATATATGGGATATGTTCCAAATGGTGAGGAGGAGCTACCCACCTAAAAATCTGGGGAAATTATTGCAGGAAGAGTGAAGAGCAAATTCAAGAGCCCATAGATGGGAAGATTTGGCGTATTTGGGAATAGATTTGAGCCAGTTAAACAAAGAGAAGATTGTAATAATGGAAGTTAGAGATCACCATGGGACAGAACATGAAGGTCCTTGAATGCCATAGTAGATTTTAAATTGTTTATTTATTCACTTACTGATTCATTTATTTATTTTTGTGATAACTGATATTGAACCCATGGCCTCTTGTGTACTTGTAAATTGTTTTAAAAATACAATGGTGGGGCTGGGGATGTGGCTCAAGCGGTAGCGTGCTCGCCTGGCATGCGTGCGGCCCGGGTTCGATCCTCAGCACCACATACCAACAAAGATGTTGTGTCCGCCGAGAACTAAAAAATAAATATTAAAAAAAAATACAATGGTAAGATACGTTTAAGTTTGAAGGAGACGTGATATGATTGGATGTATCCTGGGAATGGACACTGGCAATTGTGTGAAAAATAAATTGTGGGGGCAAAAGTGTATACAGGGAGACAAGTTAGGGGGCTCTTGGAGGAATCACAACTGTCTTAGGCTATAGTGGAGACAGTGCAGAAGGGGAAGAATGGGTAAGCTCAGGATATGTTTTGGATTCTGTTGACAGAACTGGCTGATAAATTGGGTGTGGCAGGTAACAGAAAGAAAAATTGAGGGTGAAGTTTTTAGCCTGAATAATTTGCTGAGATTGTGTTGAATGGAGAAAACTGTGTTGAATTTAGACCAGGCTAAGTTTAAAATGATATCAAACAAACAATTGATGGAATAAACAGATCTACAGATTAGTGTAGACATTAGATTTAGAATTTTTGTAATTTGTGGTATTATAGGAAAAGAAAATTATAAAACATACCTGCGTCTCCAGTTTTTTTTTTTTTTTTTGGTGGACATAGTATCTTTATTTTATATTTATGTGGTGCTGAGGATCGAACCCAGTGCCTCATGTATGCTAGGCGAGCACTCTACCACTGAGCCACAACCCCAGCCCCAGTTGTTTTTTTGTTTTTTTTAGTTTTTTTTAGTTGTAGTTGGACACAATAACTGTATTTTATTTATTTATTTTTATGTGGTGCTGAAGATTGAACCCAGCACCTTGCAAGTACTAGGCAAGCGCTTTACTGCTAAGCCACAGCCCCAACCTGGACTCCAGTTTTTTTAAGTGTGTAAATAAAAAATTAGCAAGTTGACACACTTAAGTATTATTTGAGAGGTGAGATTTGAGTTCAGTTTTCTGACTTATCACTCTTTTCTATGGTAGCATGTACTACTTTTGTAATATAAAACAGTTTAATGTTAAAATTAAGATAGTTGAAAAAATAATAAGTGGAAAACAAAGCTAGAGACTAAATAATTTCTACAGAAGAAGCCCATCCTAACAAGTAGGAGAGAAATATGAAAACTCCAACATACCGAGTGGTCTCTGAAACTGGGAATTAGTATCCAAAATCCAAGGATAAAAATATGTGTACATGGGGCTGGGGTTGTGGCTCAGTGGCAAAGTGCTTGCTTTGCACATGTGAAGCACTGGGTTCCATCCTAAGCACCACATAAAAATAAATAAACAAAATAAAGATACTGAGTCTCTCTATAACTAAAAATAAAAATAATAAAAAAATATGTGTACATGATGAATTTCACTCTGTAGGAAATATATATCACTTTAAATATATTCTCTAAGGGATCTGTGACTTTAAAAGTATATAAACCATTGGATCTGAGTGGCTAGTTTTTTAATCAAAGATTTTAGACACCAATATTTCCTCTAAAAGTAATCATGGCCACTGCCATAAGGGCAGAATTTGGGTGTGGCAGGTAACAGAAAGAGAAGAATAAAGGGTGAAGTTTTTAGCCTGAATAATTTGCTGAGAAAATTATCATCACTTTTTGGGGGAGGTAGGAGATATTTATCTTGCCTTTTTCACTTTTAAACTTTATACATTGGATCATATTTAAATGAGTACTAGAACTCCGTAATATGACTTTTCATGAAAAATAAGTCCTGTTTTTTCTTGTTTTTATAAGCATCTGTTTTCAACTCTGTTTAATGAGATCCTTTACTTCCACATCTCTACTGTTGCATGCATATATTGTTACTTTGTTTTCCAGTTTTGGTGTAATAAACCCACTTTCTACTATGAAAATTAAAGGATCTCTTCCCACAATACGTCACCTCTCTTCTATACTTTTTCCACCTCCTATCTTTCACTATGACTACCCCACAGTTTCATTAGATGAGTATTCAGTATTTACATTATAACTGTATAAACACTATTTATAGTTGAATCTTCCTTGTATGGTTTTCTGTTTGCCATGGAGCAAATTGTCTGTTTTGTTCATGTTAGATCTGTACGCATGTACCACTAGTTCAATCTGTACTGTTATTTGTTAAATCTTCTCTCATTATGGTTAGATGCATCAGATATTCTACCAGATTCATCATTTTAACTTATTTATTTATCTTTTTAGTTGTAGTTGGACACAATACCTTTATTTTATTTATTTATTTTGATGTGGTTCTGAGGATTGAATCCAGCACCTCACACATGCTTGGTGAGTGCTCTACTACTGAGCCACAACCCCAGCCCCTCAAATTCAGCATTCTGAAGAGAGTTCTCCTGCCTTACTCTGGGATGGTTGCCCTCTACAAATCCAGCACAGCTATCATCCTAGAGTCTTTATCATCTTACTGGAGTTATATTTTRCCTCACACCTGTGCTGGATTCCCTGTTTCCTGGATCCCACATTTTCCCTTTTCTTAGTTTACTTCCTCATTACTCTACCACCAAGCCACAACCCTAGCCCTGTAGATTTATTTGTATAAGAACTTAAACAAATAGGGCCAGGGTTGTAGCTCAGTGATGGAGTATTTACCTCGAATGTATGAGGCACTAGGTTCAATCCTCATCACCACATAAAAATAAGTAAATAAAATAAAGGTGTTGTGTCCATCTACAACTAAAAATATTTTTAAAAAAGAAATTAAACTTGGGGCTGGGATTGTAGCTCAGAGATAGAGCACTCGCCTCGCATGCGTGAGTCCCTGGGTTTGATCCTCAGCACCACATAAATAAAATAAAGATATGTGTCACCCTATAAGTAAAAAATAAATATTAAAAAAAGAAATTAAACAAACAGAATCTGAACCTCAGACTACTTTCATCTGATCTACTATAGCTATGTATATATGAGTAAATTTTCTCTCTTGCTAAAAAAGATGGTATGTTCCTTGTTTTTGTTTTCCAAGYTACAGTCCACATAAACTTTGAAGGCAAACTATTGATACTAAATTTGAAACTAAAATGTGTAATATTAATATTATTCTTTAGAGAAACCACCAGCACCATCACAAGTACAGTTGATCAAAGCTACTACCAACTCTTTCCATGTCAAGTGGGATGAAGTACCTACCGTTGAAGGCTATCTTTTGCAGCTGAATACAGACTTGCCTTACCAAGCTGCACCGTCAGATTCTTCAGCAGCATTAAATATGCCAGGTAAAATGAAAGTCATGCTTATAGAAACCATGTATACTTTAAAAAGTATACTGCAGCTGGGCTCAGTGGTGCACCTTATAATCCTGGTGACTAGGAGACTGAGGCAGGAGGATCACAACTTAGAGCAATATAGTGAGACCCTGTCTCAAAATTTTAAAAAGACTAGGGATGTAGCTCAGTGGTAAAGTGCCTCAGTGTTCACTCCCCAGCACTACACATACAAAAAAGTCTACTGCAAGAGAATTAATTGCTTGGTTTAAGAAATTTTATGATCCAGGGCTGGRGCTATAGTTCAGTGGTAGAGCGCCCGCCTCACACGAGTGAGGCACTGCRTTTGCTCCTCAGCACCACATAAAAATAAATAAAGATATTAACAATTTTTTTTATGATCCAATGGTAAGTTTATATATTGAGTTTCAGGTCTGAAACTAACTTAGCTGTTGTACCATTATGTGCAGCAGAATGGATAGACGTGCAGAATAGATTTTTTTTTCCTGCAGTTAATTTTAATGCACTTTAAAAATTGATGTTTCTTGAGTTCAGGAGATGTTTTTGATTAGCTTTCAAAAATATTTCTTTTTCTTTTTTTTTTTTTTTTTTGTTTTTAAATCTGGGGATTGAATCACTAAGCCAGATCTGCAGCCCTTTTTACTTTGAATCAGGGTCTTACCAAGTTGCTTATGGCCTTGCTAAGTTCTGAGGCTRGCCTTGAACTCATGAACCTCCTGTCTCAGCCTCCCAAGTCATTGGGATTACAGGTATGCGCCACCGTGCCTGGCTGTTTCACCTTTTTTAAATGTATTTTTAATTAGGCACTTGGAAAGTAAAAGCAAATTTTATTTTACACAGTCTTCCAGAAAGAGTTTCAGTTAGCTGTTAAACTATTAAGAAAACAGATAAATTTTGAGAGAGTGCTATTTAAAAAATCTTTAATATATAACTTTAAAGAATATTTTAATAATATGTTTTACTGATATTCATCAAGAGCATATCAGTCTGAACTTTGTCATTCCCACAGGAGGCAGAGTGGACCCTCACAGACAAGGCAGTAATAGCATCCTTCCGAACAGTGTAAGTTAACACATTTATGATGGCAATTGAATGTTTATTGTTAAAGTCCCAATTTTTATTAAGATTTTTAGTGCATTACTTTAGAACAGGGATCCTCAACCCTGGTACACATCAGAATCATCTCTGAGATGCCTGGACAGCTCTGTTTTTAAAGAAAGCTTCAGAGCTTGGAGGTGTAGCTCCTTGATAGAGTGCCTGCCTAGCATGTGAATCCCCTTGCTTGTACCCCCTAACACTGCAAAAAAAGGAAAGAGAAAGCTTTACAGACTGTTGTGATATTAAGGATTAAGAATCCCTGTCTAAGAGAAGGTCACCCTCATTATATATCAGAGACTATTCATATTTACAGATCTGTTTTGGAACTTTCCTATATATAATAAATACATGTATTCTACATTTCTAGAGGTATCCTTTAAATATGTACATAAACATATTCTTTATTATATATTTTTCCCCAAAGTATATCAGTTGCTAAATTGAGTACCTCTGTATGTGATTTTGAGTATGAATTAATGATAGGCAAGAAGAAAAGTAAACAAATATGTCTATATCTACATCATTTTCTATGAAGAGAGTCTCCTGGTATAGATAACAATTTGCAAAATACTAGTGAATTTTGGTAAGCTATTCATTAGCTTCCATGAAGCACTTTATAATTAGTAAATAAAGAAATAAAATAAATAAAGTGTGGCAGTTAACACCAGGAAAAACAATTGAATAAGAAAGGAACAATACTCAAAGCACTTTTATAACTTACCTGTGAATGTCACCATCATAATTATCAGTATCATAGTGTCTTTTTCCTATGCTAGGATCCATGCTTCCTGATCTTGTTCCTCTTTTCTGGTGTTTTCTCTTGTTTTGTTGCAGTATTCTCTCCAGTAGTTTCTTGAGTAATGACTTATGAAAGGTATACATTGTGAGATCTTGTGCATCTAGAAATTTCTTTATTCTCTTCACATTTTACTGATAGTTGAGTTGGACTATAGAATTCTATACTGGAGGGGCTGGCATTGTGGCTCAGTGGTAGAGCACTTGCCTAGCGTGTGTGAGGTGCTGGGTTTCAATTCTCAGCACCATATATAAATAAATAAAATAAACATCGATTGACAACTAAAAAATACTAAAAAAAAAAAGAATTCTATACTGGAAACTTCTCTCAGAAAATTAAAGACATATCCCCTGCCCCCTTCCCATTTTTAGCATTCACTGTTGCTATTATCACCTGGCTTCCTAATCTTTAATATATGACCTAATTTTATCCTGTTTTCAGAAATGTTACCTATGATTCTTTAGGGTATGTGTCTTCATTTGAGATATGCTGTGCATTTAGTGGGCCCCACTGTTATGGAAACTCAAGGCTTTCATTGCTGATTATTTCTTTCCTCTAATGCTTTGTTAATTTTTAAAAATTTGTTAAAATTCCTGTTGAACAATGGGCTTCTTCCTGAACTGGTCCTCTAATTTTAACTGTTAATCTYTTTTTCTACTTTCTGAAAACTTTCATTTTATATTTTAAATTTTCTATCCAATTTTWAAACATATTCAACCTCATTTTTAATTTCTAAAAGCCTGGTCTTTATTTCTTTTATAAGCACTTTATTCTTGCTTCATAAATGTAATGCCTTCCCTAATCTCTTCAAGAATTATGCCTTTTTAAAAGATTTGGAGTTTTATTCTGCTCTGCAATATTTCTTTTTGTTCAAGTGTCTTTTTTTTTTTTTTTTTGATGTTGGGGATTAAACCCAGGGCCTTGAATATTSGAGGCAAGCACTCTACCAACTGAGCTATAGCCCCAGCCCTCAGTTTCCTTATATTTTTAAAATTTAGGCTTTCATTAGAGGTTGTCATTAAATGGTCTGTGAATTTGGCTGTCCTCTTATGTTCCAAGTGAGGGCTGAAAGAATAGATTGGAGACTCTATGCATGCTTATTGATTATTAGACCTTAATAAGGTCTGCTAYTAAGGGTAATTGGGTGGGAATTCACAAATATTCTCTAGCTTCTTGCCTGGGGGTTCTAAGTCTGRACATCAGTATTTTAGGAGCGAAGTAAAGGAATGGGGCAGTAGGTCTCTCTGTTCTACAGGTGAATTTACTCTTAATTCCCATTTTTAGCATGWCTGCTTAAAGGGTCACCACCACCCTTATTTGAGGGACACTAGAGCCTCACATATCAACCTGCCTGCTTACTTCCCCTCTTCAGTTAGAATGGGAGAGAGGAATTCTTCTGGCTTAGTATGCAGAGACAGCCTAGCTGGTCTTCAGCACTATGCGCACAGGCTGCCTTGTGACAGGCCTCCAGGGTTCCTTCCCTGGCTTGCTTCTAACTTCTGCCTTTTTAGACCTGATACCTTCCTGGGTCCTGCAGCACAGGTTTGCATCTTAATGACTTTTTCCCTTTAGGCTCTTAGTGTCTAGCTTTTTCTACTTTATATCTTACCTACAATCGTCTCCCTTACCATACTCTTATTCCTTATGTATTTATACTTTTATATTTCATTTCTAAGTATTTGAATTGAGTTTTTGGAGGAATATACTGAAATAAATGTATTTAATCTATCAGATTTAACCAAAACTCTTATGATATTTTATTTTACATAATTGTAGTTAGACTGTTTGAATTTTAAGTAAAGAGCGTATTAGAGACACCATAACAGAGACTTTGGAATTAAATAAATTCTAGCTGTGCTACTTCTTGGTTTCCTGACTGTAGATCTCAGATTACATAAAGTCTGTGAGTTTCAGTTTTCTTTATACAACAGAGTACATTATTCAATTTACAAAATTTTTGTGACAATTAAGTGAAATACAGAGTTTATAAATAAAAAACACAATGCCTGGTACAATTATTGTTGTTACCCTCATCATTTATTAAGAATGCACCATCACCACCAGTTAAGGGCAATTCTAGGGATCTTAAGAATCTTTTATTATTCTTTAATATATTTTTCTTCTAGTTGCCAATGGACCTTTATTTTATTTATTTATATGTAGTGCTGAGACTCAAACCCAGTGCCTCACACATGCTAGGCAAGTGCTCTACCACTGAGGTATAGCCCTAGACTGGGATCTTAGAATCTTAAGAAATTATAAGCATTGATAATAAAGGTATAACAAAAACCATTACTGAAATAGAGCAGCAATACTGGTGTATTTGAACAAAGCCAGGTCTCTTTTATGGTTTAGTAGACCAATAGGTATTGTTATGTAATTACTGAAAAAGTTTAAATGTGTTCATTATAGTGTATTTAAGAAGGCAAAGACAGTTTCATTAGGAAGATTCCTATCTAAAATGCTTAATGGTAAAAATGCTGATATGTGTTAATTTTTTTATATGGAAAACTTAGTCATTAAGAATAATTCATTTGCTTGAAGTTTCCATAGAACAGATTTTACTTTCAGGAGTCATCAAATCTTTAATCTACATGCTGACCTTTGTTAAAAAAAAATTGAACAGACTGTTAAACTCAATAGTTTTCATTTTCTTTCCCTTGTTACAGAAGTATTTATTTGTAATACTAACTACCAGAATAAAACTCCAAATCTTTTAAAAAGGCATAACTCTTGAAAAGAGATTAGGGAAGGCATTACATTTTTGAAGCAAGAATAAAGGCTTATAATAGAAATGAAGAATAAGATCAGACTTTTAGAAATTAAAAAGGTGGTTGAATATATTTAAAAATTGGATAGAGAATTTAAAATGTTGATTTTAAGCTGGGTATGGTGGCACATGCCCAAAGCCCCACCTTCACTGTAGGTTAAGGCAGGAGGATTGCTTGAATCTAGGAACTCATGGCCAGCCTTACATAGTGAAACCCTGTCTCAGTAAATAAATAAATAAAAATTTTCCCTTAAAATATATCCTTCCTTGCCAGGCTCAATGGCACGTGTATGTAATCTGGCCCAGGAGGCTGAGTTAGGAGGATTGTGAGTTCAAAACTAGCCTCAGCAATGGCAAGGCGCTTAGCAACTCAGTGAGACCCTGTCTCTAAATAAAATACAAAAAAATAGGACTGGAGGTTTGGCTCAGTGGTTGAGTGCCCCTGACAAGCAAGCAATCAAGCACTCAATCAATCAATCAAATCTCCCTTCATTTCCCCTTCAAAAATGGTCTGTTGCTGGGCACAGTGGTGCATGCCTGCAATCCTAGCTACTCTGAGGCAAGTGGATTGCAAGTTCAAGGTTAGCCTCAGCAACTTTAGGAGACTCTGTCTTAAAGAAGAAAAAGGGCTGGAGATGTGAAGCTCAGTATTGAGAGTGCCCTGAATTCAGTCCCCATTGCCACGAAAACAAAATCAAAAACTAATCTTTTGAGATGGAGATTAAGTGAAAATAAATTATTTTCTTAAAAATTTAGAGAATAAGTCTATATAGAAATTAATAATATAGTTTTAAAATGTTTTATATTTTGATAAACATCTTTTCAAAATCATTTTCTTGTAAATTAATTTGCTTGTTTTTTTACATGTATTTCTGTTCATTGAACATTGCTTGCTACAGTAAACTATTTTATTTCTTGTAGATCAGTGACACAGTAAACAGTACAAAAGTGGAGCATTCAGCCATGAGAGGAACTGCAATGAAAAACAAACAAGATTTCAAAGCAACAGATTCTAATGCCATTTTATATTCTTCTTTGGCATCTAATGCTTCTAATCATAATAGTTGTATGGTGGATATGCTAAGGAAAAATGAAGGTATAAAGWTGACATTTTGAATAAAACTAAACCTTTTTATAATATGGTAGGGAGTTTTAGAGTCATTGAAAAAGTAAATGTTATGTGGTTTAAACAATTTTCCTCAAAATATTTACCATATTGCACCTAGTTAGAGTAAGGTCAGAATACCAACTAGGCCCTTACCTGAATAGTAATGACTTGTTATGGGTATATGAAAGTTCTTGGATAACATTTGATGTTAGTGTTCAGTGTCATTATTCCTTTACTTATTTTATTTTCTTAGCCCTGAAATTATTTATTTTAGGCAGGGATTTTGTCCATTTTGTTCACTTGTATTTCTCCAGCACCTAGATCTGTGCTTGGTAAATATAGTAGTCACTTAGTAAATATTTGTTTGGCAAATAACTGGATTATCCTCAGAAAGTTAGCTCAGTTATAAGAACTATTGATTAGCCCATTGCATTCATGAGAGCTTATAACTTGGTGATAATTTTATTTGCATATGCTGATGCCATTTACATTAAGCATTTCTTCTGATTTCAGTACCTGAAATTATTTTATAAATCTCATTCTGATATATCTCTCACATAGAAATGTGATTATTTTTTAATTTGTAAAAAAAAAAACTTGAAAGCTGATATAAATCTAATTATTCTTCACTTACTCAAATTTAACAAGATGAATATTCCTTTTATCTCTGTTTATCTTTATAGGTCTATGTTAGATAAAGATATTCAAGGAAGATAATTTCCTGTAATTTGGATAAGTTTAAATAGTTTAATTTTTGGCAAGCGGTGAAACCAGATTTGTTGTGCGACAGTGCCTGGCACATTGTTTATACTCATATGTGTCATAGACTCCCCAGTTGACTTTTTCTCTGCAGTTTAGAGTAGCTGCTGAAGAGTGTTTCAGAAAGTGAAGGAGGAATATATTTCATTTTTAAATAAGCTTTCTAATCTTACCATAAGGAAGAAATAGGTAGGAAATGGTTAGGAGATTCGGTAGGGTTCTGTCAGAACTGGGAGGTACATAGAGACTAAAGCAGTATATGGGATGGAGTAGGGAAAATATATCATTGAAAAGACTTTTAGAAAGTTGTGTTTATTAAAATTGACAAGTGAGTGGATATGACAAATAAAAGTGAGTTGAATATAAAGTCGAACATCAGAATGGATAATGCTTCTCTTTGTCAAGGTAGAAAGTATCAGAGCAAGAACAGATTTGGGGAAAGGTTCAACTGTCTTTGAGGAACACGAGAAATATATTGGTGAAGATTTTAAATGGGAAATTGTATACTTAGATTTGGAGTCTAAGAGAGAGTCCTCAGCTGGAAATATACATTTAGAAGTTTAAAAAGTATCTAAAATATAAGTTCCACAAGAGCAAGGACCTTGTTAACTTGTTCACTATTAGATTCCCAGCCACTGGTACAGTGCCTGGAACATATATATTTGGGAAGTGAATGATTCATGATGGTTTTTAAAGCACAGGGAAAATATGCAAAGGGAGGGGGAAAAGRCAGCTGAGCAACATGAGAATATAAGGCATCATTTGAAGAAGAAAAACTAACTGAAGAGGTTGAGAAGCTGGGGTGCTTAGAGGGGTAGGAAAAGACAAAATACTGGTATGTGCCTTTTCTTCAGACATCACAGTTTGTGCCTTTTTGTGTATGAATGTCTCTATCATATGAGAGAGCTCATGGGGCATGAATCCTGCCTGCTTTGCAAATAAGCACAATGTCTGATAGATTACAGACCTTTAGTATTGTAGAATGAATGAATGAGCCATAGAAATATATTTTCAAACGAATATATGTTCAGCATTGTTAACACTACAGAAAGATCAAGTAAATGAATACTGAAAAGTATTCCATAGCAATCATTGACATTTGCCAAAACCGTTTCATTAGAGTAGTATGCTAGAAACCAAAATTTAGGAAGATCAAGGATATGGAAATTGMTCTGAAGAAAACTAGTGAGGGGAAATAAAAACAGGAGGGGACTCTGGGTGAAGGAAGATGTGGGTTTGCTTGCTTGAGAGACTTAATGATGTTTATGTAATGAGAACTAAAATCTAAAGAAGAATCTAAAAGTCCTGAAAAGACAGGAATGATTGATGAACAAAGGTCCCAAGATATGAGGGAAGACAGAGAAGTCAGGGAGGATGGGCACCATTTCTAGTTTGATGCAGGAGAAGACAATAAATTGATGGAATCCATGCCTGATGACTTGAATTTTTTTATAACACAAGAGGCAAAACCATTTGATCTATGGTTTAATAGGGAGTTCAAGAACAGTGGTTTAGAGTTTAGATTGGAAGAGGAAGCTATGAAGTTGAACATCCACTATAGATAGAATGCATTTTATGCCTTACGGCCAAAACATACTGATGCCATTTGCAGGCTCATGTTTATGATTTTAAAATTGAAAGTACCAGAAAACATGATAAAAACAGTATGACATAGTTATTTCCAGGTACTGTACTAATAATAGATCTTTTCTCTTTAAACTTAGGTCCTCACACTTCAGCAAATGTAGGTGTACTAAGTAGTTGCCTGGACTTAAGAACAGTAACCCCTGAAACTTCGGTGTCCAGTACTGTTTCCAGCGCACAAACTATGGTAACCCAGCAGACCATTAAAACTGAATCATCCAGTACAAATGGGGCAGTTGTTAAAGATGAAACTTCACTAACAACATTCAGTACCAAATCTGAAGGTTTGAAATGTGTTTCACATACTGTATTTTGAACCATTTAATGTATATAAATTCATCAGATTTCTTTGTCTTAAATGAGAATTGCATTTCATCTTGAATTGAATCATGTAAGCAGATAAAGCATTTCAGTTAAGTATGTTATATAAAATAATCTTTGCTGCCTTACATAAAATATTTAGATCAACACACACTGAGATATAATCAGAATATATTTTCCCTACTGTGATTAAATCCAGCAAGCCTTTTTCCATATAAAAAATTAGTTGTAGAACATGGATTAACAGTTCTTCCAGCTTGATTAATTTCTAATTTTATAAATTCTTATTCTTATTTATCTTTGGTATACATTCTATGGAGTTCCAGCTAGTTATCAAACTCGTAAGAATGAACTATATGAATTAATTTGAATGCAAGTTCATATTTCTGGGCTGGGGTTGTAGCTTAATGGTAGAGCACTTGCCTCACATGTATGAAGCACTGGGTTCGCTCCTCAGCATCACATAAAATAAATAAATAAAATAAAAGTATTGTGTCCATCTACAACTAAAATTTTACAAAAATAAATAAAAAAGAGTTCATATTTCTAATTACCATGATTTTCTCCCTCTCCTTTTTTCCCCAGTTTTTAAAATTGAAAAATACACATAACAAAATTTACCATCTTTACCATTTTTAACTGTACAGTCCTATGGTATAAATTATAAATTATGCCTACTTATAAATTATATTTTCATGTGTCCAAGTAATTATATAAATCTTAATTGATTAATTGTTTAATTTTTAGTTGATGAAACATGTGCTCTGCCTGCAACTAAGATTAGCCGAGTAGAGATGCATGCTGTACCCATGCCATTTGCTGTAAGTAAATTACTTGGTGACAATGCATGTTTTCAAATGATTATTGTTGCTTTTTAAATGCTGAGCAACTTCTAAGTAAATTCATGAAAAGACATAAGGACTATGTCTTAGTAATGAATTGATAATAAATTTAGAAATAAGTTGTTGAATAGGATAATGTTCCTAATGTTTAATGGAAAAAGCTTGCTAAAATGATAATACATATGCTGTGGTCTCAATTTTAATAAAAAACACACATAATACATAAGTTCACACTCTCACATGTACCTACACACATGCACACTAAAATGCTACAAGATTCTATTTGTGGGGCCACCACGGATTATTTTTACTTTCTTCTCTTTATGCTTTCTATATTTTTCTGTAAAGAAACATTACTTTTTAAATCAGAAATACGTGTGTGTTTACACACATATGTATATGTGGTGTGATATGTAAATTACATTAATGGTTTAACGATAGGTATGTTATGGAACAAAAAGTACTTGGCTATATTTCTAGGAGCACAATAGAATACTGCAGTGTTGGATTGACATACACGTAGGACAACCCAGTAATCCCTGGCAAAGGCCAAAGTTAATCTGCATGGCACCAAACTTAAAATTCTAGGAAAGTGCCTCACAAATACACCAAGGTTGTCTTAATTAGATATGTATATAAGGATAATACATATATGCATATATATTTTTTAGTTTTTTTATGATGAGTCATTTCAGCTTTATTGTTGTCAGCAAGAGGTTTTTTTGTTGTTGTTGTTGTTGTTTTAAATAAGATTTACCTTTTGGAATCTTCTAAGAATTGTGTGTAGTTTTCATTTGCTTTCAAATTTTTGGATTGCGACCATATATTTACCTTAATCAGCTTTCATATTTCCAGAATGTTAAGTCCTAGTGTTCTTAGATTCTTTTCAAGAAAGGATTGTTAAAATGAACTTTCTTCTTTTGAATCTGTTTTGCAATGCATCAGCCAGAATTGTACTGGTTATTTCAGCTGGAGCCAGTTGTTTTATAAAGTTGTTGAAGAGAATTTTTACAACTTTAAAAAATGAAGACAAGTTTAAAGCTATTCCTTTTTTCTCTAACCTTAAAGATTCTTCTAGTTAGTTCACTTTGTCATGTGTGATAGCCTAAATAACAAAAAATGTGAATGATAAGCATGTACCTCTGCTGTTATATATTTAAGACAGAAATAAATAACTGAAGTGCACATTTGTTTTGAGCTTCTGGAAACAGTGTCTCATTTATAAGAAGATGGCTTAAAAAGGTTAGTTCCAGGGATAAGTATAATTCACTTACCACTAAAAGTAGCTTAAGGTAGAGGAAATTTATTTGTTTTTAAAGCAGGGTAAAACATTTAAAACTGTTAAATCTCCTTCTCTGTAGTGTATACTAAAATGTATTCAAATCGCATTTTAGTTTTGAACATTTTTTCTCCTTTTAGGTTTGGAGAATCACAGGTATTTCAAGTGCAAAGATCACTGAATTTTTGCTAGTTGTTTTGAATCTAGTAAAAAGCCAGCTTGGAATGAATTTTTCTTTATTTGCTCCCCTTGGAGCAAAGTGTAATGTTTCACTAGCGGGATTACATTTTTCGGAGAGGGTCTCTGAAATGACAATGTTGTATAAAACAGCTGGAATTTTAACATGTCACTGATTGTGAAGCATGCTAACTCTAGCCAGGTTGATAGTACAGAGCTACTGAGTTTGAGAATGCCTGTCACTCCTGTGTTTTAATTGGTGTCCCCTTTTCACTGTCAGTTGACCTAATCTGTTAAGACTTTATTTACTTATAAGCTATTAATGTTGTGGTGTTTACCCATATACCTACTTGTATTTGTAGATCACTGCATGGATTTATTAAATCTTGAACTTTCTTATATGCTCAGTAAGAATCTTCATAAATCTTTCTTTCTCTAACATTAGAAAGAGTCTCCTTCAAATCCAGTGGCCACAGTGAAAGCAGGAGAACGACAGTGGTGTGATGTGGGAATTTTTAAAAATAATACAGCTTTGGTGAACCAGTTTTATTTGCTGCCAAAAGGGAAGCAAAACATCTCCAAGGTAACTTGATATATTTTCTTATAAACCTTGAGAGTGAGATTATTTTTATGAATCTTATTCATGTCACTATAATTTAGTGTTGTGTATACTTAGTCATCTTGTATTCTTTGTTAAGGCTCTTTTTTTTCTTTTCTTTTCTTTTTTTTTTTTTTGGTACTGCGGATTGAACTCAGGGGCACTCAACTACTGAGCCATATCCCCAGCTCAATTTTGTATTTTATTTAGAGTCAGGGTCTCACTGAGTTGCTTAGTGCCTCACTTTTGCTGAGGCTGGCTTTGAACTCACAATCCTTCTGTCTCAACCTCCTGAGCTACTGGGATTACAGGCATGTGCCACCATGCCCAGTTTATTAAGGCTCTTTTAATAGAATATATAGCAAACATGTCATTTAAAAACTCTTTATCACTAAGCTGGACTTCACATCATAAAAAATCTATTCTGGCCAGCTAAAAAATGAGGATTATTTTGAAATGTCTCCCATTTTGTTACTCTCTATGTTTAGAGAATGGAATGTTGTCCCATTGATTCAGGAGGCTGAGGCAGGAGGTTTGCAAGTTTGAGGTCAGCCTAAACAATTTAGTGAGATGCTGTCTCAAAAGAAAAAATAAAAAGGACAGGGGTTATTGCTCAGTTGTAAAGCACTCCTGGGTTCAGTCTTTAAAAAAAAAAAAAAGAGAGAGAGAGGGCTGGGGATATAGCTCAGTTGGTAGAGTGCTTGCTTCACATGAACAAGGCCCTGGGTCCAGTCCCCAGTACCACATGCACACACACACACACACACACACACACACACAAAAGAATCTTATTGATTTTTTTTTGTTCCTGATTTTACATTTTAAAAAGTGTAAAAGCCCCAATATGCTATTGAATGCTTTTCCATTGAGTCTGACCCCCTTATAGATACATTAATTGAAACATTATTAACCTTCTAAGAATTAATTAAATAGATAACAGTTCTAAAGAGTGTTGGACTAATTTTTTTTTAGATGGAGAATTTCTGAGAGGGGATTGTCAAGGAAATAGATATTTACTTTAAATTTTTAGATCTTCCCAAAAGGAGATAGTAAGTTTAAAAATCCGAAATCCTAAATGCTTAAAAGCCAGAACTTTTTTGAGTGTCAACATGCTGCCATAAGTGGAATAATCCATATCTTTCCTCATGTGACAAGCCACAATAAAAATGAAGGCATACTAACTTATCTTTAGGTGATTTGTATAAGGTATATGAAAGAACGAACAAGGCTTGTCGACGAACAGAGCAAACGCCCATTTATTGGGGAACAGCTCTGCATATTTATAGAGCCAGAGGTGGTTTGACAGTTGGCATGGGGTGCTTTTTGATTGGATCAGGTGAGCCAGCAGGGCTAGTCTGGTGGATAGGATCATGTGAGCCAGCAGGGCTCACCATTGGACGGCTCTTCTTGGGGGATGGGGAAGTTAGTCTCTGGAGCCAGGGCAACTCCCAACAGTATACATGAAACATAAATAAATTTTGTGTTTAGCTTAGGTCTTATCCCTAAGAAATCTCATGTGTATGCTGATATTCCAGAACCTAAAAAAAACCCTGAGATCTGAAATGCTTCCTTTTTTTTTTTTTAAGATGGATACAATATCTTTATTTTATTTTATTTATTTTTATGTGGTGCTGAGGATCGAACCCAGTGCCTCACATGCGTGAAACAAGCACTCTACCGCTGAGCTATAACCCCAGCCCCACCCCCCCCTCAAATGCTTCTTGTACCAAGAATTTTGGATGAGGGATACCCATCCAAAATCCAAGTATATGATCACTTGTATCACATACAAGTGATACCCAACTTGTATATCATTTACTATATATATTACTTATATTTGAATTTCTCTAATATTACTCTTGATGTCCCTCTTTTTCACAATGAATTTTTCCAATATTGACAAGAATAAATTCTGGTTAATAATTTGTTAGTATTATGCTTAATGAAATTTCTGGCTGCAGTTGACTGTTATATATAAGGATATATCCATATAAGGGCCGATTAGCTGCTTGATTTTTCCTAAAAGAAGTAAAGAGCATAGTGAGGCATGGTGACACACATCTGTAATCCTGGCAGCTCAGGAGACTGAGGCAGGAAGATCACAAGTTCAAAGCCAGCCTCAGCAACTTACTGAGGCCCTGTCTCAAAAAATAAAAAAAGGGCTGGGGAAGTAGTTCAGTGATTGAGCGCCCCTAAATTCAATCACTGGTATAAAAAAAAGAAAGAAAATAAGTGAAATAACATAAAATTTAGAGCCAGGAACTTGGTTTTGACTCACTAGCTCCAGCACTCAGCAGTATGAACTAGGGCAGGTCACTTATTTAACCTCTTGAGACTCAGCTTCCTCATCTATGATACATTGGCAGCCCTGGCCCACAGGGAGATTGTGAGGGTTTAAGGATAATGTATAAAAGTTGAAAGTAATAAATGTTAAGATTTAACTTCTTAGAATATGTAATCTAATTATTTAACATTTATTCAGTGTCCTGGATATAAATTTTTAAAATTCACTATACTCTGTGTTGATCTCTCCTTTTCTATCAAACTTGCTTGCCTGTCTCTAAGAGTGTTGTTCTTTATTTTTGGTACTGGGGATTGAACTCAGGGGCATTCAACCACTGAGCCACATGCCCAACCCTGTTTTTTTTTCTTAATATTTTTTAGTTGTGGATGGACACAATAACTTTATTTGTTTATTTTTATGTGGTGCTGGGTATTGAACCCAGTGCCTCACGCATGCTAGGCAAGTGCTCTAACACTGAGCCACAACCCCAGCCTCCCAGCCCTATTTTGTATTTTATTTAGAGACAGGTTCTCACCCAGTTGCTTTTAGTGCCTCGCTTTTTGCTGAGGCTGGCTTTGAACTTGTGATCCTCCTGCCTCTAACATCTGGAGCCACTGGGATTACAGGTGTGTGCCTGGCTCTAAGGGTATTGTTCTTGGGAAGACTATTATTAAACAGTAAACCTGAGATTCTGCTCCAAATTAAATTTGCATGGAGGTAGGATAATTGTTACTTTGTTTTTATAAAATGGTTGGTAATTTTTTTTTCTACCTTCATACATTTTATGTGCAGAATACCCTTACTGGAAAAATACTTATTCTGATTAATAATCACTGATTAATGGGCTTATTAGTTGCTTCTGTATTAGAAGGTTTATTGCTTAGAGTGAGAGAAATAAATGTGAATTGGAACTTTAAGAGTTTTATTGTTCAGTGAAGATTAAATAATTAAAAAATTTAAATAATAAATCAATTGTTGCTTGTTTTTTTTTTTTCTTTTGTATATATTACATTTTAGGTAGGAAATGCAGATGTACCTGACTACAGTTTACTTAAGAAACAAGATCTTGTTCCAGGCACTGGATACAGATTTAGGGTTGCTGCAATCAATGGTTGTGGAATAGGCCCTTTCAGCAAAATCAGTGAATTTAAAACTTGTATTCCTGGTTTTCCTGGAGCCCCTTCAGCAGTCAGAATTTCAAAGGTAAGATGTCAAGTCAAGACTTGTTGGTGATATTATTTGAAACTTCTTATATTAAGTAAACTCTTTAGAAATTTTTGCTAGGATCTAATGAAATCAGAGATATCTAAAAGAGGTGGATTAAAAGTTTAAAAAATATTCTTTGCTAATCACTCATGGTATTTTAATTACCAAAATCTCAAGCAGAATTATAAACATCCAAATCATAGAGAAGCAGGGAAATCTGCTTTGTTATGTATCCCAAAGTTCATGCTGGAGAATTTTAATAGAACATATGAAATTGGATTGTATTTTATTGTAAGTCATTCTCTTCCTTAGGGAAGAAAAGATCTGCATTAGAGAAAAATCCTCTTTTTAGGGTATAACAGGCAGATATTTAAAGCTTGTTATATTTGTTAAAAGTGGGCATGAATTAAACATTGTAGATCCCACTAAGGTAGTTTTTCAAAAGTCAGCAATATGAGACCTAACATCTAATGCAATTACTTTAGCAAAAAGAAGCATTTTGTGTTCTAAAGATAGACTTAACATAATAAATACTAAAAGAGAAAACTTGAGAACCTTTACCTGCTCCCCCCCCACTCTTTTTTTTTTTTTTTTAGAATGTTGAAGGTATCCACCTTTCCTGGGAGCCTCCAACTTCACCTTCTGGAAATATTTTGGAATATTCAGCCTACTTGGCTATCCGCACAGCACAGATACAAGATAATCCAAGCCAGCTTGTGTTCATGAGGATTTATTGTGGTCTTAAAACATCATGTATAGTAACTGCTGGGCAACTTGCAAATGCACATATTGATTATACATCCAGGCCTGCCATTGTGTTCAGGATATCAGCAAAGAATGAAAAGGGATATGGACCAGCTACACAAGTTCGATGGCTTCAAGGTAACAATAAAAAAGCATCTTTAAATTGAATTTTTTTCTTTTTTTTTAAACTGAAGCTGTTGTGATGATAATTATTTATTAGTAACTGGTTATGAAGATTTGTCATTTAAAAGACTGTATTTCTAGCAGTTATGAATTTGAGTTTGTAAGTTGTTCTTAAAATGTATTTGCTCAATTCTAGATCCAAATAAAAATAGAAAAGAAGCAAAGACTCTCTGAAAATTAGTATATGGATTCTTCCTTACACATATAGCTCTTTTACAAAGAAAAATAGTAAAATTAAGATAAAAGTTAGAAGGCTTTAATACCCCAATACCTTTTTTAAAGGCTATGTAACTCAGTCATCCTAGAATTATTGAGATGATTCTAGTAACTGACTGGTGTACACTTCACTGTCTTACTTAGTAAGTGTTCGCTGCATTGTAAATGACCTATCATTGAATACTTCCTCTAACTTTATTGTCTATGAGCGGTGATCCTCCAACAGCTATCTTCTATGGATAATATTTGTGATACTAATGTTAGTAGTCATTTGATTCTTTTAATCATAGTTAGCACAGAGCTTAAAAAATTTTAAAGAGAGAGAAAGGCAAGTTCAGAAACTGCTTTTGAATTTCTATTTTTCAAAATCATGGTAAGATTAAAAAAAAATAATGGGTATTCTTGATTCATACCAGGCCAATGTATTTGAATATACATTTGGTTAAAGCACTTAATTTAGCTGGCCCTTAATTACAGATGAGAGAATTAAAAGAATTTGCCTTCAAGGCCCCTTTCAGCACTAAAATTTTGTATTTTCATCAGATGTAGAGTATGTCCCTGAACATTGAACATGTTCATGTGTCTTAATGGTTTTACCTTTGCTTTTTCTGAAATTAAAAGCTTCATAATTTAAAATTCAAAATTAAAGTGTATGTCCTCCTACTGCAGAAGAAAGAAGCACCTTAATGGGACACAAGTTTTGAAATAGTGTTTTAAACATTTGTAAGATTTTTGTAAATGCTCTAGATGTTTTATTTTTGCATCATTTTTACCTCAAAATTGTATAAACTTTTTTACAATGAAAATATAAGCATTAGACAGCTAACTCAGGTTCTTTACAACCTTAAAGATGCAGATGAACATTATGAACACTCTGCTACAGGTAACTTGTTTTAAATATTTTAGGAATTTCATGGTTCCACTGCCTATTCAAATCTGGAATGAATATATACAGAGCAATAATTGCAGAAAAGATATTTCTCACTAAGAGCTACAATAACTGTAAGGGCACCGGTCTATCTTTTTACTACCACATAACCTTATGCCAGTTTAGGTTGACTGAGTAGCAATGTCCTCACACTTTGTGTATAATATCCCCAGCAAAGATAGATTTAATTGTGCAGAATTGATATATATGCGTGTTCCAGTTACTAATTTAAAGTGTATAGAATATTTTAATATATAATTTTTGTAAAGAACTGGGATTTTTATACTACAGTATTTGTAATTAATGTGTCTCACTAAGTTTCTTTTGAAGAAAATATGCAAATTGTTAGACACATAATGAGTGGTTTCTGAACTCTAAAGATAAAATAAATGCACTACTATAGTGTTGTTAGAATACCTTTTTTTTGTGGCTATATGAATCCTGATTCTTTAAATGTGTACTTTATAATGTTTACAAGGAGCTTCTCTGGTTTGTTGTCCCAGCAGTTTCCTTGGCGAGAGCTTCATTCTGCATTTGTTTAATTCATATGCTTTGCTTTTGGCATATATTTGCTTTTTGCACTAGTAGAATTTTAACTTACCTCATTATCATGTTTGTAATCATTGTATAGCTTCCATAACATGTCTGATATAGGCTAAAGAAATACTTAACCAAAGTTAAAATGAAAATAAATGGTAAGCAATTTTGCACATATTAAGTGCTAGGATTTGTTGTGTATGTGTGTGTGCTTAGTTATAAAAATAATAAGAATGGAAAGTTTAATAGTAAGTATATGTCTTAAACCCAATTATTTTAATTATCTATTTGCTTTATTAGAAAAACTTTGGCTTTTAACCCATTATTATTTGCATTAACAATTTCCATCTTGAAATGCTTCTCTTAATGACAAGGAATAAGTTGATTTAAAGCAAATAGTAGAATATTTGCTTTAAGTGTACATGTTAATATCAACTTRGTATTTAATTTTCTTTACTTTGCTGAAATGCCTCTATTGTGTTAGACCAGGAGGTGAATACRAACCTGTGGTTCTAACATATGACTTACTTCTTAGAAGGAAGGGCAGCCTTTTCATACCAAGGGATTTGTTAAAATAATGAATCTTTTTATTTTGAGAATTAGCCCAGTTTTGTTTGTTTTTTTTAATTTGACATTAGTATACTGAGCACCAGTCAAGTTTATCTTTCTGATAAGGGATTGGTGACTGAAAGATGCCATTAGAAAATCTCTAATGGCTTTTAATATTAACAGTTAATAAGAGATAGCTGTATGTTCATGAAAAGAATAAATTGGGCAAATAATGAGAGGAGTACATTTAGCTTCTTGTGATTTGCACATTTTTCTAAGTGAAGATCCCTTTGTATAACAGTGGCTGTATCATGCAGATATTTTTCTTTCTTTGCTTTTTTTTTTAAACCTTCAATGCTGGGGATGGAACCTAGGGCCTCACACATGCCAGGCAAACACTGAGCCACATCCCCATCCCTGGCAGATATGTTTTCATAAGATGAAATTACTTTCTTTACGCTTCCCAGTTGGGTAAACAACTCAGATGTAATGAGCTTTTGTGTCACAGTCCTCTTTCTGTACTCTGCAACTTTGGTTCCCATAAGTATCAATATTTTTGATGTTGCATGCTCTTACAATTATGTTTTCTAAAATATTGTATTGACTTTAGTTTAGTAAACTATTTTGGCAATTTAACCAGAAATAGGGTATATATAAACTCAATTTTATCTGCATTAAAAAATTGAAATAATCTAATCGCATGTATTATGTACCTCTGCCCCATAACTCAGTTGCACAAATATAATTATCTATGGGAGAGTGAAATTGTTGATTCATTATTTCAAAGTCTTATAGATTAGAAAAGATTCGTTCTGATTAGAGATATGGTCTATAGCTAAAGATACTTTTATTTTAAAAAATAACAGCACTTATGAACACCATTTGGATCATTGGATATGAAGAGATTATTAGTATTTAATAACTATTAGTATTGAAGTCTTCAGATCACAAATGAAGTAGTTGCAAAGTAGACCTGGTCTTTGACCACTTAAGGTGTAACTGTTGTATTTAAAACTGATTTAGGCAGTTTTATGTATCATGTACCAATGGTATGTAAAATAAAGCACCTTTTCTACTATAAACACTTACAAATGTTATTTATTTTTAAAATACATGAAAGAAAAATGAATGTTGGCAGAGTAGATCTTTAGAAATGTTTATGTCACGCCTTTGACTTAATATAGGCAGTCTCTAAATTAAGATGGACTGTGTCTAAAAGTTTGTTTTTAAGTTAGTGAAYTGTGGTTGGGAGTCATTTTTTAATAGAAACATAAAATCTATTTGATCCTAATTGTAGCTTAACTAATAGGCTTGGAAGTTAAAAAAAAGTTAATCGTTGCAAAAAATAGCCTAACCTTGTTTTACCTGTTTACTCTTTTTTTTTTTTTTTTTTTTTTTTTTTTTTGCTTTTCACACTTTTTAGTTCACAGCAGCAGGCTTCTGACCTGCTACCCTACTGAGATGGTTCTGGCAAAGGTCGGGAATAATCTCCCATTTCCAAATCTAGTGATCTCTTTCTTCCTACTTAATCTTGTCATCTGAGCACTCCTTGGCACTTCCATTTTCCACAGCTATGATGCCACATTCTGTCTTTTATGCACCTCCTCCTGTCTTCATCCACGTTTCCTTGGCCACCTGTCTGCATGCCTTGCCAGCCCGAGGAAGCCTTCAACACACTCCACCTCCTGGTAGATTTAACTGCCTTTTTTTGTGCTCCACTGTCCTTTGTCGTAGCATTTAAAAACTGTGCCTTTATTATCATTGTCTCCCTCCCTCTGCTATATGGTAGGTCTTTTTTTTTCATACATTTACTTATATATGGACACAATACCTTTATTTTRTTTATTTTTAATGTGATGCTGAGGATCAAACTCAGTGCCTCACACGTGCTAGGCAAGCACTCTGCCACTGAGGTACAACCCCAGCCCTAGATGATAGGTTTTTAAGGCAGGGACTAGGTGTTTCTATCTCTTTCCTTTGGCCACTTAGCTGGTACTAAATATTTTAATGAATGAGTAAAGAAAATTGTTACCTTTATGCCTCTCCATATTCTCACTTCCCACTCTCAAGTCAGGGTCAAAATGGGAAAGAAACTTTGAAAGGAAAGAAATTTAGCAGGTRAGTCTCTAAAAGAAATTCAGACTTTTCAGCCTTGTCTTACCTATCCTAYTCTTAGACTCCCAAGAGAAATTCTGGGATAAATAAAGAATTTAATAGAGATCTTAAGAGGAGGTCTTTGATCTGAAGAGACCTTAGCATTTAATGAGACTATAGACATTGGTAGATTTTTATTTTTCATACTGTATGATCAAAATGAGTTAAAAAAATCTGTCAAAAGTCAAAAGTCTTTTCTGGCACAAGACAAAACTACCTATTTAAGCACAGGGACCTGGTGGAGGATACATACACACAAGGTTAACAACTGCTTCAGATTTTGTTATCTCAAGTCAGGTCCCTGTTGTCATCTTAAGCTTATAGGACAAAAGGATGTTATTCTCAGGAAAACAAGATGACATTGGCTTTCCTCCCTTCCAAGCCTCCCAGTTACCATTGAGAGCATCTATGCCTATATACATATATATTTTAAATTAATTAATTTATTTTAATTAGGTATATATGGCAGCAGAATGCATTTTGATTCATTTTACACAATTACAGCACAACTTTTCATTTCTCTGGTTGTACATGATGTAGCGTTGCACCATATGTGCACACATGTCAGATAGGGCACTAATCTCCAGGATATAGAAAGAACTCAGAAAACTTAACACCAAAAAAGCAACAATCCAATCAATAAATGGGCTAAGGAGCTAAACAGACACTTCTCAGAAGAAGATATACTTTCGATGAACAAATATGGGAAAAAATGTTCAGCATCTCTAGTAATTAGAGAAATGCAAATCATCTCACGCCAGTCAGAATGGCAGTTATCAAGAATATAGACAACAATAAATATTGGCAAGGATGTGGGGGAAAGGCACACACATACATTATTGGTGAGACTGCAAATTGGTGCAACCAACCTGGAAAGTAGTATGGAGATTCTTTGGAAAACTTGGAATGGAATCACCATTTGACCCAGTTATCCCTCTCCTTGGTCTATACCCAAAGGACTTAAAATCAGCATACTGTAGTAATGCAGCCACATCAATGTTTATAGCAGCTCAGTTCACAATATGCCTATATATTTTTGTACTCCAGAGCAAGACTTATTTTAATCATGCCTGGGAAAACATAAACTATAACATTCTGGGAGTGAAACAATAAATTCTATAGACTGAACAAAGAAAAGGCTATAAAAAGCTTAGGATGCAACTTTCTTGTTCAAATAGATTTCCATTTCTTCTCAGTGTCAATTTTCTTCTATCCTGCCCTCTATAGAACTAAATTAAGACARTGTCCTCTTATGGGCCTATTAATCTCAGCAAGGATCATCTGAAACTGAGCATGAGATTATTTTATTATATATAAGATAAATTGAGTAAGGGGCTGCTACTTAAAGGTTGTCAAATTTAAAATCTGACTGCTACTTCTGCTAGTGCCTCAAATCAAATTCAGGATTGTGAAGCCCATGTTCTTGGATAGAGAGAAGGCTAGGGAGTCATAGGTATGAGGCTAGAAGGGCTTAACAGGAGTATTCCTTATATGCTGAGTTTACTTTGCTGGTTCAATAGTCCTTTAAAAAGTTTCTGGAGGACTGGGGATATAATTCAGTTGGTAGAGTGCTTGCCTTGCATGCATAAGGCCCTGGGTTCAATCCCCAACACCACCAAAACAAAACAAAACAAAACAAAAGTGTTTCTGGAGATGTTAGGTGTTTACATATAACCTCCTAAGATAAAAGTACAGAATGTAGGAATTGGTAGCATAGTGATATGGAAGCTAAAACAGAAGTGGACCCACTCTCTTATGTTCTTACCACCTAGAGACAAGAAGTGAAAGGCTGTATCATTCCTAAGCATGAGGAAGGCAAGGATTGGGGTTGTGGCTCAGTGGTAGAGTGCTTGCCTAGCACATGTGAGGCCCTGGGTTCTATTCTCAGCACCACATAAAAAGATAAATAAATAAAATATTGTGTCCCTCTACAGCTTATATATATACATACACACACATACATATATATATATATATATATATATATATATATATATATATATATAAAATTGAGGAAGGCACAAGAAGAGTCCTTTGTATTTGAGTACATACAGGTTCAAAATGAGAGGTAGCAGCAACTACCTTTCATTTCAGAGCAGCAACTCTGTCCATTAGGAAATTGTGGTCCAACAAATGTCCATCTCCAACCAAGAGAATTACCCATTCGTCCTTTATTTGAGGAAACAGAGTAGAATCTAAGAATTTAAGCATTTTCTCTTTCATAGTAGGAAGAGGACAAGAAGCTTCAGGCATAATACTATCCAGTAAAACAAAGACATCAGGTTAGAGTGTCTGAGCAGTTCTGAAGATCTAGCTACTTCAGCCAAATCCATTCTACTACCATTTGCAGTTTAGCACCCCCCCCCCCCGTGGCATTATCCATTCCAGCTTCAATATGATTCTAGGTCTTTTGGCTGCAGAGGAGGTTTTTTTTTTTTTTTTTTTCTTTTAAAATAGCTATATCTATGCCTGAAACTTTCTGGTGATTGGCAGCCCTGTGTTCAACCCAGCTAGGGAGTGTAGGCCTGGAGAATGCACTTTCTACTTCCCTACTTAGGCTGGCCACTTTCTCTGGGACTTAGTCTCTCCCTCATACAACTCCTTAAACCAAGATTATGTTTGCTTGCCGTACTTGGGTATGGGGGATGGATTAAATGTTTCAAGATCTATTTACTTTTTTAGAATTTCTGAATTAAATACTAGTTTGTAGCTAATCCCTTAAATAAGGAGAAATCATATCTTAAAGGTCTGCAAAATGGCACCAACAGTGATGATCTTGGCACAGAAACAATTGCAAAACTATTGGCTTTTTTTTTTTTTTTTTTTTTGTGGTGGTGCTGGGGATTGAACCCAGGGCCTTATGCATTCGAGGCAAGCACTCTACCAGCTGATCTATATCCCCAGCCCATTTATGTGACCAGCATTTATGTGACCAGCAAGGAATCTGTTTTTAATGCTTCTGGAGGAAGTCAATACTGCCATATGCATTCCATATTGTTGTAATACTTACCACATGCATGCATTATTATGAGAATGTGCCAGAGGAAATTTGTACTTTTGAGAGTCCAGAGAAGGCAATTTATTTTGGCATTTGCATCACCTATCATTTCATTATCTGCTTTATTTTACATAATGATATAATAAATATGATTAATTATACCAAGTGAACAAAGATCAGTTAGCCAGAGACACGCCAGTGATTGAGGCAACTTGGAAGAGCAACACTGCAGTACTGTGATCTCATTGGATTTTGAACTTGTGGGAATCTAGTTAAGTTCTGTAAATAAAAATCTATCCTGTTTCTTTTTTCATATTATCAATTACTTTTCTATAATTGTTATTGGTTGATTGCATAGCAAAGCAAGGACCGAAGTATCAGATATTTCATCTTTGCTGATGAAAATATGTATTGAATGATCTTGTAACTTTTTTCCTTAAAAAATGTTGTGAAATAACACTAAAGTATTCAACCGTGTATGTATGGTTTAAAGATAAAATGATCACACATGTATCAACTTCCAGCTTAAGAATGTGCACATTCTCAGCTACCTACTCATTTGTCCTCCCTCCATTCGCACCACATGAGGTAAATGTTCTTCTGTTATTTTTGGTTGATAATTCTCATGTTTTTATTTGTGGCTCTATCATCTATGTATGTATTCCTAATAAAATGTTGTTTAGATTTACCTG